AATGTATATTACTTACCGAGAGCGACTCTTGGAATAGCGCGTCGTCTGCTGTTGGTTGTGTCCGTGGTTGCCATTTGCAAATTTATTAAAGGCATTCGCCTTCTGCTTAAAGTGATTCACATTTTGTGTCTTTTGAGCGGGCTTTTGTGGTGTTTGGTGCGATTGTGACTGTGACTGTGATTGCTGCTGCGGCTGCTGCTGCTGCTGCAGGTGTTTTTTGTTAAAGTAATTACTGCGCTGCGGCTGCGCAGGCGTCACATTACTGAGCACCACATCGATGGCATCGCGCTCGCTATGCACTGTGGGCATGGGCTCATTATCCCAATCACGTGTCCAGAGTTCATTGCGATTGGCAGCGGCAATAATTTTACCCTTCAGACATATATCAATTTGATCCTTGTCCAAGTCGGTGGTGCACTTCGAATAGCAACGCGCCACATACTGATTCAACGAATCTGGCCACGAATCATTCGAAGCCATCTGAAAGCAACTATTGGGACGTTTAAATGATGCTCCAGCTGGTGTCTGCTGTGGCTGTTGCTGCTGCTGCTGCTGCTTCTTTGGTTGTTGAGCCTCCATAGCCGCTAACGGCGATTGCTGCTGCTGCTGCTGTTGTTGTTGTGGAGCAACAACTGGTGTTGCTGCTGCTAATGGTGTTGGTATTAAGGGCAAAGGGGGTGGTGGCTTGCTTAAGTCTGGCGTCGGCGGCACGATTGGTGTGGCGAATGGATTTACAGAAATACCCGGAAAGACAGGATGGGACGCTTCATAACCACTATGCTGTTGCTGTTGTTGTTGTTGTTTGTTCATGTTTATATTGTTGTTCATGTTATTGTTATTGTTGTTTTTATTATTGCGCTTGCGCTTCTTTTTGTTGGAATTATTGTTCATGTTATTATATTGATTAAGCTGCTGCATTGCATGTTGTTGATGTTGCTGTTGTTGTTGCTGCTGCTGATGTTGTTGCTGCTGCTGCAGTGGATTTGGTGCATTTGCCAAACGTTTTTGATTCAAATTCAAGTTGAAGCGTATGCCACCAAAATTTTTCTGCTGCTGCTGCTGTTGTTGTTGTTGTTGTTGCTGCTGCTGATTTTTATTACCTGACTGAGCAGGAGGTGGTGGTGGCGGTGGTGGTGCCGTAGGTAACGGAGGTGCCGCCAGAGCATTACTAAACCCAGGCGGCGCATTCGACGAACTAATGGTCGATGTTACCTGTTGCTGCTGTTGTTGTTGTTGCTGCTGCTGCTGATAACGCATATAATATTGATAGTATTGTTGATATTGTTGTTGATAGGCGGCTGCATTGCCACCATGATGATGCCACCATGCGTAGTTGTTCCATTGCTGCGCGTTGGCAGAGGTGGCGTTTGGTTGTTGTTGCTGTTGTTGTTGCTGCTGCTGCATCTCTTGCAGCTGGGGTATTAACGGCGACGGTGCGCTCATCGCATCAGACATTTTTTCGTACCGTTACGTATGGTATTTACGTATTATGTTTGAGCACTTTAACCTTTTCGAACTTACCTTTAAATCAAACTGTGCGCCGCACCCTTTTTCGTAGCAAAATAAAAAATTCAAAAATTCAAGAGAATGTGATAAACCCAATTTAGGAATATGTATTGTAAAACATCTGAGCATGTGTTCAAATGTGTATGTGTAAAGGCATGTGTGAGCGTATACGCCATTTTGTTTTTGCTTACCCAAGAATCTTCCAGTGGCCTATATAATTGCAGTTGTACAATTGCCTCAAAAATGATGGAATTTATAATTACACTTGCATAAACTAACGCGCAAAACTTAAATGATTGCTACACATAGAAGAAAAAAATATTTTCAGCTGTCGAACACACAAAAATTAGAATTGTTAAATCACGTCTACACAATGTGTGCTCTTTTTTTTCTGACAAAGACAGACAAAAACATCGATGAAGTTTAATGACGATACCACAGCTGCAAAGTTGACAAGAATAATGATCGAATATATATCGAAATGTTCCTGCTGCTAGTAGTATCGAAAAAATACTAATTTTCGAAAAAAGCGCAAATAGCTGTAATTTCCGAAACCGTATACAATACTTATAGTGGTATTTGCGTAAACAATTTGTTAATTATGGCCTTTACACGAACAAAGCACGCAACACGAGACCATTTGCCACATTTGTTAAAAAATGTACCTGAGGAACATCAAGAACCCATCAAACAAATGTGCCTCAAAATGATGTCCCATGATGCCTATGGCAAACCGTAAGTATTCCTTAAGGCAAAATAGATGTTTATGTTAAGTTGATGTTCCACCACAGCTACCAATGGACTTCTCGAGACTTCGACTTAGGAGCACCCTTGGGACGCGGCAAATTCGGACGCGTCTACTTAGCACGCGAGCGGCATTCTCACTTTATGGTCGCTATGAAAGTGATGTTTAAGGAGGAGCTACGCAAGGGCAACGTGCAGCGCCAGGTGCTGCGCGAAATTGAAATACAATCGCGCCTCAAACACCCCAATATATTGCGCCTGCTAACCTGGTTCCATGACGAATCTCGCATTTATTTAGCACTGGAAATCGCCTCTGAAGGTGAACTGTTCAAGCACTTGCGCAACGCGCCGAATCATCGCTTCGATGAGCCACGATCAGCCAAGTACACTTATCAGGTGGCCAATGCACTCAACTATTGTCATCTCAATAATGTTATACATCGCGATCTAAAACCAGAGAACATTCTGTTGACAAGCACCGATGATCTTAAGTTAGCAGACTTTGGCTGGTCCGCTCATACACCAAACAACAAGCGAAAAACGATGTGTGGCACATTGGATTATTTGCCGCCCGAAATGGTTAGTGGACACTCCTATGATGACAGCGTCGATCAATGGTGCTTGGGCATACTGTGCTTTGAGTTCCTAGTGGGTAGTCCACCCTTTGAATCTAGCACCTCTGAGAACACGCAGGCTAGAATCAAACGTTTGGACATGCATTATCCATCGCATCTGTCGCCGGGCGCAAAGGAACTTATTTCAGGAGTAAGTCAATACTTTGATGAATATGAAACCGCATTTTATTTTTCCTTACCCCTTAAATACAATAATTGGTGTTTTTTTACTTCTTAAATCAGCTTATCCGTCGCGAGGGCCGCATTAGTCTTGTAGATGTTATGACAAATCCTTGGGTGAAGGAGGGAATGGCAATCCGAGCTGCACAGCTCCAACAGCTAAGGAACGAGCGGGGCAAGGAAAATCAAGCCAGAAATTAGGTAGCCCGTAATATCCTACATTCCAATCGGTCACATTTTAGATATGATTTTTTTAATTCAATATACAAATTGTAATTTTAAATTTTATTCTAAGCGCTGTAATCCTGTATGTAAATTAGAATTTAAAATGAAATACATGTATTATTAAATGTTTCTGTCTCAATGTAACTATATTAAAATCAAACTTTAAATTAATATTGAAATAACACTTTTTTATATTTATTAATATGTAAGAATATATTATGAAAATTGCCTAATTCTGTTTGGTTCTAATTTAAATTTAACGCTCAACCGATGAATCCCTGAAAAATGTCTTCGATGATCGCTTGTGGCACACTGCGGTTTCGATCGACAATATATCGAGTACAAACTTGCATATGCAGCGAGTAGTATCGTAATTGCAATTGGCATTCGAAAAAAGCGCAAATATCAGTGACGCTAGATTGAAAACACAAAAGAGACAAATATTTATTTTGCATTTGTAAATTAATAATTTTCAAACGATGGCATTTACACGAACAAAGCACGCAACTCGAGATCATTTGCCACATTTATTAAAAAATGTGCCAGAAGAGCACCAAGAACCCATCAAACAAATGTGCCTCAAAATGATGTCGCATGATGCCTATGGCAAACCGTATGTTTTTTACAAGCCAAATATGATATGTTTTGTTATGTGAAATACTACCACAGATATCAATGGACTTCGCGAGATTTCGAAATGGGCGCACCCTTGGGCCGCGGTAAATTCGGGCGCGTCTACTTAGCACGCGAGAGGCATTCTCACTTTATGGTGGCCATGAAAGTGATGTTTAAGGAGGAACTACGCAAGGGCAACGTGCAGCGCCAGGTGCTGCGCGAAATTGAAATACAATCGCGCCTCAAACACCCCAATATATTGCGCCTGCTAACCTGGTTCCATGACGAATCTCGCATTTATTTAGCACTGGAAATCGCCTCTGAAGGTGAACTGTTCAAGCACTTGCGCAACGCGCCGAATCATCGCTTCGATGAGCCACGATCAGCCAAGTACACTTATCAGGTGGCCAATGCACTCAACTATTGTCATCTCAATAATGTTATACATCGCGATCTAAAACCAGAGAACATTCTGTTGACAAGCTCAGATGATTTAAAGCTGGCGGACTTTGGCTGGTCTGCGCACACGCCCCATAACAAGCGCAAAACATTGTGTGGAACCTTAGACTATCTGCCGCCTGAAATGGTCAAAGGGGAGTACTATGATGCAAGCGTGGATCAGTGGTGCTTGGGAATATTGTGTTACGAATTTTTGGTGGGCAATCCACCCTTTGAGTCCAACAACTCGGAAATAACATACAAAAAAATAAAACACCTGGACATGCATTATCCATCGCATATGTCACCCGGCGCAAAGGAATTTATTTCGGGAGTAAGTTGATTTGTGCTTTATTTAGTTGGTGGTTAATATGATAATGCTTACATTTTAATCATTTTTAATACCTATATTACATTTTTGGCAACAACAATGCCAACATATAAACTTCTACAAACAGTTGTAACTATAATAATCCCTAATAATGCCATACATGTATTTTACATATTTTTAAATTAGCTCATACGTTGTGAGAACCGCATCAGCCTGGTAGAAGTTATGACGAATCCTTGGGTGAAGGAGGGAATGGCAATGCGGAATGCACAACTCCAGCAGCAGAAGAACGAACGGGGCAAGGAAAATCTAGCCAGAAATTAATCCAGACCTCAACCTTCTTGTTTACAATTTTACCCGTTTGTAAATTAATATTAAAATTGAAAATGTTTCCCATTAGCAACTTAAATTACATGCCACACCAAATGTATGATTTCCATCAACAGGGTGCTTCACGTTAAATCCGACGTGAGTCATGAATTGGATATTCTCGGTAAGCTCGGCTTGGTAAACTATTCCCATATAACCAGTACTGCATATTCTCGCTTTAATGATTCTTTCATCATCTATCTCGTACTGACCGCCTATGGTAACTTTCAGATTCTCCCATTCAGTCATTCTGGCCATCACAGCAAGCACAATGTTCTCGCTTATGCGCTGCAATATAGATCCTTTAATATTCTTGAAGTTCTCTCTGCGTAAGCACATTTTATAGACGGATAAAATTAAAGCTCTGAAATAAGGCTTACAGCTTTAGACCGATTTCAGTGTAATCTTGTTCACTTCGAATCCCCACACCGAATTCATGCCAATTCACCTCCAATTTGGGAACATCGACAACCGCTCCCACGGAACATATAAATATTTCGGACGGATGCTCATAATAGGTATAGGCCGACACCAGCGAACCATTTATAAGTGGAGCGATCAGTTCAATCTTGAATGGATCAAACTCTAAAGCGGCCTGCACCTCAAGCGTCAGCCTATCGTCTCTAACCCATAATTATATGAAGTACAAATAGTAATTATTTCTTTAATTGATTACATTGACTTATTTACTTACTTGTTCTCCTCGTCGTGATTGTAAATCGCCCGAAGCATAGACAGCCCCAAACCGCCAAAAATTTCACTACGCATACCGAGTGTACCAAATAAGCCGTCGGTTCTGAACGCCTGCGACAAATGGAACATACCAAACTGTTCGCTAAATTCAATACCTCCCACAACAGCTTTAGAATCGGGTTTTCCAGCCCCAAAACTATACAATTTGTAATCGTCGCCCAACCCAGAAGTGCAGTCGAAACGCCAAGTGCCCAATTTATAACCATTTACCAAACATTGTCTGGCCAATTTACCAATAAAGTTATAACTCGGCATGTCTCCATCTAAATAATACGGTCCCAATTCCGTCTCCATATCTGGATCAGACTGTGTGGGGCCGGTCGTACTGTGCTCTGACCGATTCTCTGATCTCGATTCTGGCTGTTGTGATTCTTCACTGTCTCTGCTAAATTTGGGCAAGCCAAATGACTCTCTGATTTTATCCCGACGTGCTTGCCATTTGGAATTAGACATTTTGATCAATTAAAAACAGTGAATTTTAATTAAAAATATCCAAAATAAAGAAACTTTTGATTTTATCCCATACACAGCCAAAAGTTTTTGTTTATCAAAAATTCAAAGCACACTTTTTTAAGATTCCGAAAACTACATACTACGAAATATTGTTTTTTTTTTTTAGTTAGTAGTGGTATAATAGCTCTAATTGATCTTAGAAATAGCCTAAAATAGCACAGACAAAGATCGCAAGATCACCTGTAAATGAAGCAAATGAATGAATTTTTGGTAAATAACAAAAATTATAATAATTAGCGATATAGTATATATACTATATATTTATAAAAAGTTTACATGCATATATATTAATATTTATTGTCACTTTTGCGAATTTCCACATTTTTCTTTTAATTACAACAAGTTTTTCCTACTCAACTCTGTTGTGTTGTAATCAACAATTTGTAGTTAAATTCTGTAAACACTAGACTCTATCCACATGTGAAATGGAACTACATCAAATCTGATTGTTTTCTTGCTTGAAATCAACAATTAATGCTCCATGATATACCAAATTTATGGTTGCTTTTGATTGGATCGTCGAGCGCTAAGCCGAAATGGTACATAATCCGTACACTGTCGGTAAAGGATTGCTGGTAAACAAAGGCCAAATACCCGTGAGATGTCATTTTGGCTTTAATCAGCGCGCTGTCGTTGACCATGCACTGGCAGCCAATCGAATACTCCACGTTCTCCCACTGCATGAGCGAGGCCTTTACTGCAATGGCCCATTGATTGGTCAAGCGCTGGAATATAGAGCCACGCAAATCCTGAAAGTCCTCACTATGTGCGAGTGACATTAAAACTGAGAATTAAAATACAATATGTGAATAGAGCACAAGGCTTACAATTTAAGAGCGAGTTCCGTGGATCTATTGTTGTACCCCACACCAAATGCCTGTTTATCAAATGATTTTTCCTCAAAGTCAAAGGCTCGGATGGCTGCCAGAGAGCGTAGCCCATGATCTTCGTTACATGGACAATGGGCGCGATCACTTCTAACCTGACAGGCGAACGCTCAATGCCACCCAAGAGGTCAATTTTATAGGCAGTTCTAAAAATGTATACGATTTTAAGATTCCATATAGAATCTCTTTTATATAGATATAATATATTCCTCCTTCTACTTACTCTGCACGATTGTATAGGGCTCGCAATATGGCCTCTCCACCGATGCTGTCCGTTTTTTTCTGTACACCAATCGAAGAAAAAAGTTCATTTGTCAGCCAAGCCTGCGACATGGTGAGGAGTCCAAGCTTCTCCTTGAATCCCACGCCACCGGAAATACTTTTCACATCAGGCTTAGCGGTGCCAAAACTGTACATGTACAACTCATCCATAACTCTGGTAGTGCAATCGATGTGCCACACACCAATCCTGTAGCCCGTGATTAAGCAATCCTTGGCCCATCGGCCGATATGGAAAAATGTCGGCACTTGGCCTTTCAGCGGTACTGGCGGTATTATCTCATATTCCGCCTCATGGGGCTCTTGAGCAGCATCTGCTGAATCTGGTTCTGGAGCTGGAGCTGGAGCTGATTCTGCAGGGGCTTGTCGATTTTTTTTCTTTTGCCATGCAGTCAATCTACGTTTTTTGAAGACAGACATATTTTATATTAAAAAAATAATTTACCGCGAATTTAAAAATTATAAATATGAAAAATAAAATTTGGATAAATAATTTAATTAATTTTATTTCATTTTAAGTTAACATTATAAATATGAAGTTTTAATCAAAGATAGGCTATAGAAAGAAAACTTATTCAAGTCCAAGATCAAGAGCGCATTCCCTATTAAATTAAAACCCAATTAAATCCGCTAAGAAATTAAGTAAAACCAAAAGATAATACGCAAAATATCTTTTCCAGAATGTATTTTATTAACAAATGTTTTAAAAGTTACGCCCTCATACTCCACGAAAGACCAAATTTATGATCGCCTTTAAAAGGATCATTGATAGCGAAGCCAAAGTGGTACATGATCGCTATGTTATCGTTCAGAGTCTGTTGATAGACCATACTGAAGAAGCCATCATGCCGGTATTTCGCCTTGATGATGACATTCTCGAATAATCTAGCCTGTGCACCAATGGCATACTGCTTCTCCTCCGATTTATAACAATTCACCTTGGCGGCAATGGCAAATCGATCGCCCAGACGTTGGAATACGGAGCCGCGTAGATCCTCGAAATTCTCCCTGGGTGCGCATAGCATTAAACGTATTGTGTTGCATTTGAATGTAGAATGCAGGAAAGACGAAATACTTACAGCTTAAGACTCCATTCGGTGCTGCCATTGTTGAAGCCCAGGCCGATAGCATGTTTGTCAAAGCCTTTATTTTCAATATCGTAGACCGCGCGATATGCCAATAAATATTGTTTGAATGGCCTTAAAAGCAAGTAGCCCATTAGTTTAGGTTCCCTCAGAATTGGTATAATCATATGAAACCTAAATGGGGCGACCTCGTAACCGGAGTGGAGCTCTACTTTGACACCAGATCTAAATTAAAATAACATAAGGAAGAAATTTTAGTTGAATTATGAATTAAACTTTTTGATCTATAATTCCTTTCTTTTAAATTACGAGGAACATGTATATCTGTATGTATATTTGACTACCTCGCTCTGCTTACCTATCGTGCTGGTCATATGCCGCTCGTAGCAATGTATTTATCGTCCCACCAAACAGCTCATTCTCCAAACCTGCCATGCCGACGAGGCCATCAGTCATCCAGACCTGTGTCAGGCTGAGGTTCCCCAGATGCTCGCGGGCTCCCACGCCGCCGAAAACGTTTTTGAACTCTGGTTTGCCGGTGCCAAAGCTATACAGGGCTAGATTGTCTCCAAGGTCCGTGGTGCAATCGAAATGCCAAGCACCGATCTTATAACCGCTCACTAAGCACTCCTTCGCCAGGACACCGATGTGAAAATATGTTGGCATTTCGTCTGGAAGAACGGGCCCAGGTATAATCTCCTCATAGAGATCTTTGGCTCTATCCTTGGGAGTCTGTTCTTCTGGCGGTGGTGCTGGAAGCTCTTTCCTTTTTCTTCTTATTATAAATCGCTTTTTGTTAAAAACAGACATGTTTGTTAATTAATTCGTCAATTCACTAAAAATTTAAAAAGGGCCAAATTAAAATTTTACTTATTTTTATGTGTATTTAAAAGAATCATTTATTTTTGAAATATTTTTCAAATCATTTTACAACAAAGAGAAAGCATAACAAATATTTTATTGAACATAAAGTTTACACATAATTTTTGTCCTTTATATAAATATATTTTTATTTCTTGTAGTTACTAAAGAACACATCTATTCTTCTTTAGTTCCTCTAGTTATAGGACAGTATTTTAATAATATTGACATTAATTATTGCTGTCAAAGCTTAAATTGCAAATTAATATATACAAATGTAGCAAAGACGACTCGACTAATTAAAAGATTTATTTTTCAGCTACATAACCTTTAGTAAACTTTTTACTCACTTCATATTAATTTCTTTGTTAATACCCTGAACCCATTGAAAATGAGAAATCAGAGCACAATGGATCTGTTAAAATATATGAAACACGCAGAAGGCGTGGTCAGTCTATTCAGCCCTGTCCATTATCTCTATGTAGTTGAAGCTAGAGTCACCAAATATATTTTAAGTTAAATATAGATTTGTGTATTTTATAATTTCTTTAATTGTTCAATTTTCTATATTAGTAGTAATCCACAAAATATTAAGATGTGAATTTATTTATTTCAAATTTCACACCTTTATGTACGAATACAATTTTTTTTTAGGCAGGACACAAATACTAACAGGTGTAGAACGTTTAACAACAGAATCACAAAATCAATGAAAGCAACAAATTTGATAGCGATATGGACAACTGCTCTTAGCACTCCAAGGAGAGGCCAACGCCGAATTTGTGATCGCCATCGCTGAATTGCTTGCAATTGAGCACCGTCGATATGGACATGGTGATGCCTTCACGCAACTTCTGCTGAAAGCCCAGGCCTACTTCGGCATTACTGTTAATTTTGGCACGAATTAGCGCATCACCTTCCAAACGATAGATCATGCCTATACCAGCATTCACATCTCCAAATTGCAAGTCATCGCCCTCCAATGGCGAGGCAGGCTGGCCGATCTCAATAGCGGCGTCTATTTGATCAGTTGCCTTGTGGAACACCGAGACCAGCCAGCCTTTAGCATTAATTCTTTAACAGAGTTGAGGAGTGTTTTATTAGACATATATTTGATTCATGAAATCAAATTGTTTGCTCTGCACTTACAGTTCGCCATGTAGGGTCGTCTTATCATTGCTCCAGCCCAGCGCAACACTCCAATTCACATTTTCGGCGTTTATATCGACGTCAGTGGAAGCGCCGGCCAAGAAGCCTTCGTGGCCCACCACCAAAGACAGACCAATTATGGGATCCCTCTTGATATCACATTTCCCTAGTATGTTGAAATAGTCTTGGGCATATCTTGCCAAAAATTTGCCACTCTTATCGCTATATAAGCAATACATTTGTGATAGTAATTAGAACCCGTTTTCAATGGATTATGAGAATACCCACCCTGATGATGGTTGAAAACGGCCCTCCAATGCGAGCAAAAGGCCCTCAACCAATTTGTCTTTTTGCGCAATTTCGCCATAGAGTAGATTATCCGTGTTCCATCGTTCGGTGAGCGTAATCCCATAATCCTCAATATTATATTTGCTTTGCAAAGAGCCCATCACTTTGCTGGCATCCTGGCTGGCAAAGCCAGTCGTAAAGAATTCAATGCCGGAGCTAGTCATAGTTTTGCAGTCGAGCTGCCATAGGCCAGGATGATAACCACGCTTGAACAAATCGCGGGCTAGCTTGCCCAAATCAGCATAAACAGGCGGCGCCATTTTTGGCCAAATAAATAATTTGTATAATTCAAGCGTATTATACGGTTTCAAAATTTTTTTACAGTTGTGTTGTATCACCAGAATTTCTTTGAATACGAAAATGATTGAGCACAGAATTTTTAGCCGTTGTAGAATAAAATCAAGTGAATTGTGAGGCAACGTATGCTACGGCTACGTTTATACTAATATTTACCCATCTAAAGAAATACAATTTTCACAACTTTGAAAGCTCAGTGAAAACAATCAAACCTTAAACGGCTGAGTCTCTATTCCCGCCCACAAACAACGGAATTGAGTACTGACTGAGCAAGCCAGCAAGCATCGATAACAGCTTTCGATATCGCCGATAGGCAGACAGGTTATAGCTATAATCGCATTAGAAAATAAAGTATTTTAGTTTTAAATGCACACTACTAGTGTTATTGTATTTATTTGACAAAGGTTGCTTTCATTCGATCTGGTGCTGTTCATTACTCACTCTCTGTGCAGAAATAATGCCGAGCTTTTTTCACACTTTTTGTTGTTGTTTTTTAATAGGTAAATTATGTATTTCACTGTTTGCCAACAATAAATATATGTACTTAGCTATGCACTAAACGAGACTATGTCCAACGATCGAACGGACTACAATCTGATCCGGGGCCGCAGCAAATGTTGGCAAATGCTTTGCTAAACATGAAGATTCGTGTAGTGTAATTTGTTGTTTTTTTTTTCTGTGTTTTATTGTTGTTACACTTTTAATTTGTTTCTCTTGTTGCTGTTGTAATGTTACTGATGTTACTATTGTTGTTGTGATTATTACTGTATGCAAAGTGCTGGCAGCGCATTCAGCTTTTCATCTTGAACTAACTTAGGCTTCCAATTCGAGGCCAACGCCAATCTTGTGTCCACCGGCATTGAAGTTCTTGCCATCGACAAGCGTGGACAGGGTCAAGGTGATGCCATCGCGCAACTTCTGTTGATAGCCCAAGCCCACCTGGCTGGCATTGTTGACCTTGGCGCGCACGCTTGCATCGTCGTCCAATTGATATTTGGCGCCAATAGAGAACTTGGTGTTGCTGGTGCCGGTGGCCCACGACAGCTGAACACCCACATCCAACTTATCGGAAGTCCGTTGGAAGATTGAACCGCTGAACTCCTGGCCGTCATTCCTATTAACCGAGGCGATATATCCAAATATAAAATAGTTTGAAAAAAGAAATCGACTAATTTCTACTTACACGGCTGTGTGCAGGACAAAGTCCTTGGTGGCGTAGCCGAGAGCAAAGTTGTTGGTGGTCAACTTGGATTGTTGTGTATCGAAGGCAGTTTGATAGCCAGCCAACCAGCCCTGGTAGCCCAGCACAGCAGATGCGTTGATCAAGGGACCCTTCAGGTCAATGTTGACATCCGAATCGGCCTTGACATTCTCATGACCGTATGAAACCTTGAACTTGCCGTTCTTGTTGCCCGACTGTGGTGCAAAGTTGCCCTCCAGCGACAGCTTGAGGCCCTCCAACAGCTGATCCTGCACAGCGACCTCAGTGAACAGAGTGTTGTCTGTGTTCCATTTCTCCGTCAGAGTAAGGCCATAATCCTTAACCTTGTACTTGGTTTCCAGGGAGCCAAACACCTTGCCCGACTCCTGGTTCGAGTGACCAGCTGTGTTGAATTCAATGCCCGACGATGTCTTGGTCTTCAGGTCCAGCTTCCACAGGCCAAAGTTGTAGCCTTTGCTGAAGATGTCACGAGCCTGTTTGCCCAAATCGCTGTATGATGGAGGAGCCATCTATTGAGAGTGAAATATTAGTAAATATAGTTCAATATTCCGGGCATTGAGTTTATTAATTCACAAATTTCATATGCTCGGCCGACGATTGCGTGAAAGTAAAGATTAGATTCGCAACTTTTATCTTATCTCACACTCTTGTGCAGCAAATATTTCATGTAAGCAAATATTGTCATAGTTAATACCTATTTAAATCGCTTGAATATGTTTTTATTGCCATTTCCGAATCAAATGAAGGGAAAGAAGTAAATGCAGCGTGCCTCCCTTGCTGCTTTTAAAAATAAACGCCCAAAGTGAATAAACAAATTGTTGTTGTACTCTGGCTAAATGTCAACTTTTTCTTTCACAAAATCAAAGGAAAGTCCAATTAAATTCGTTTTCAAGGTGGACTGCGGAAATGAAAAGTGCATCTACAAGTTAAGAGTGCCCAAATTTGGCAAAGAAACTGCGAACTATCAGCTCTCCGCTTTGCTATGTTTAAGTACTTGTGCGTGTGTTGTGTCTGTGTAAATGAGGGGTCAACGCACGTCTGCTGTGATTGGACGAGTAAGAGCACGAGCGTGCGAAGCAGCTGCGAGCGATCGTGCAATTGATGACGCACAGTAGTCGATTGAAACAGATAGCAAACAATTTCAATATCCACAAATTAATATATGTACATACATATACAAAGCGCCGTTAGCAACTACCATCATATCAGCCTACCTCTTTTCGTCTAAAATTCTCCCTTATAATATTGTATGTCCAATAATTCTTGCCATAATCAGCCATTTTTTAATAATATAATTTTATACAAATTTTAACTTTTTTAATTACTTGGAAATTAGTTTCTTAACATACGGCCTACTGTGCACCATATTTCATGTCTCTGTTTACGTTTTGTTGTTGTTAATTACTCACAGCAAATCGTTCAATGACCACTTGACAGACATACATACACATGCATATGTATGTACGTTACCGATAACTACACGTTACATCTTTGCTTTGGTCTCATCACTACCTGACGCCCCATGCAAACGCAAGCAACTCACAGTGGTGGCCGTAATAATAATGCATGGGCTAAAACAGCGGCAAAATATGAAAGGCCGACAAACAGGGAAAGATTTATATTATTGGCTAGATTGGACAGCGGCCAAACGGTGCGGAAATGACCAACAACATAGGCGAAGTAGACGGTGTGTGAAATCATGCGCTTTCCCGGTTAAAAGAAGACAAAGAATTCTTCTAGCAAAAACTATGAACAAATTTTACGCCAAAGAAATATGTATGTACATATGTATATGTGTGATGTAATAGGGCATCAGCATGGAGCATCAGAACATTTCAGTATACGCTTATATATAAGATACAGGTATGTATGGACTAAGCAGGTCAGGTATTTCGTGAGCCCCAATCAAAATTGCGCTACGACCTTGACACAATAATTATACCAATAATCACCAAAGTACATGCACTCGAAAAAACTCGTATTTACATATGTAGTTAGAAAAGTAAAGTATTGTTTGCTTAAGTCGGTTGCCAATATGTGTCATGACTGCGTTTTTATCTGCGGCCTGTGGGCGTGAGTTATTACGCAACACTATCCAGCAAAACTAATCTTATATCCAATTGCACCAGTTGAAAGGTGTCACAAAATAGGCGAATCGATTTTTTTTCATGACGTCACTTACACACCCCCATCTGCAATCAAATAAATATAAATTGCTTCTCGGATGCTCACATGACCAGCGGCCAAAAAAAGCAAACAAAACAATAAAGCAAATAGAAAAAGTTTAACAAGCTGAAATTGATAAAGCTCTTGAGACAGATGCATGTGATAAAGCTAGATGGAGACCAAACGGTTAATTCCCATTTTGTCAAAACAAATTTTAGCACAGTGCAGCCAACATGTACATATGTTGCGTAACAGGAAAATACACTGTTGCCGGCAGCTGCCATCGTTGCGAACTAACTGTAAAACTCTCTTCCATTAGTGTTTTTCTGTATGTGTGTACCGGTTGCTTTATTCTTTTGAATGGTCACAACAACAGTATCAATTAAAAGATATTAGGAATAGTTAACACAACAGCATAAACACGATAGGAAACCCTTTCCGCGTGTCGTGTATGTGTGTGTGCTTGTATATGGATGAGGGCTTCGTGTCTACTTGCAAAATGTTCATTTCGAGGTTATGAAATCACTTAGAACGAAAAACGAGATACGTTCAGGAATGTTCATGCATATTGCTTCACTGTTAAAAACAAGAGCTTACAATTACGGTGGTTTGGGTAAGTTCTACTTACTTTTGATAAGTTGAATTAGTTTTTAAAGTAATGCGAAACGCAGGAACAAGACGAGCACGACCACACAACGTACACCACAAAATTGATTTGCAACTGAATAGCGGTGTGACCAAAGAGAAATGTAGAATAACGCGATTGTGCTTTGTACGAGAATATACTAAAGCAAACTATGTGATGAGCAATTTGATTATTGGGTTGTTGTAATCATATTTTTTTCTACATGCACATTAAATGTAAACTTAATGTTTTTAAATTCGACCTATTTCTCTAGAGTTAGATTATTTTAAAAAGCATTTTAATCTGATTAGCGTAGTTCGCGTAACAGGGAAGTGGCAGCCTTGTGCAAATAGTATCGATACTTTTTGAATTTGATCTTTGGCGCCATATCAGTGATCGTTTTACCATTGAAAGCTAAAAAAGAAACCCCTCTCGACCTATACAATAAGTTTAATTAATGAATGCAATTTAAATAAAGTTCCAATATAAGAATTATAATTTTTCAAAAGCAATAGAAAGGAAGACATGCAGCTGCACCCCCAATACAGTGAGCAGACTACTCACTATTTATATTATTTTTAGCCACAGTGCAGGCTCTCTAAAAAACTAAGAGCTCTCGTTCTCTGTATGTAGAAATAAATTTCGTATAAGTCTTGCATTTGGGAGCGTAAACAGCTGCGACAACGTCATGTTGAAAGCGCGCCTGGAACACGACTCAGTCTATGGCCGCTGCCTGGCCACATCGGAGCCAGTGGAAAGTGGCGAAGTTGTTGTGGAGGAACTGCCCTTTGCCTACGGGCCCAAGCGTGATAGTGGAATTGTTTGCCTGGGCTGCTACAGGTATTTGCAGTTTGGCGAAGACGGTGATTCGCTGGATCGCTGCGAACTCTGCGACTGGCCAATATGCGGCAACTGTGTGGATGACGCCGCCGATCATCGTGGCGAGTGCGAGGTCTTTGCCGCGGCACGTGTCACATTTGCCGGTAACGTCAGCGAGGATGGCGTCTGTCCACAATTGGATTGCATAACACCATTGAGGTTAGTTTGTGGATGCCAAAGGGGCGTTGGCTGCGGGGACCACAAGTCGCTGCCGCTCAAAACCAAACAAAAATCTTGACAGTTGCAAACGTCACAATAGAACGACAACGCCAACCGACAGCATGAGCAGCTGGCAGGCTAATGCTCGCTGCTCGGGGGCCGTTCATCTTTGAGACTGTGCCAAATTATACAAATATTTACAAAAAAGATGCTATGCGCACCTCATCATAGCGCGGTCCATGTCAGTAGCCGCTATGACAGCGACACCAGCACTCGATGTCAATCGCACGGCGGTCGAATGGAGTCCCGTCTACGGACGCTATCTTACGGCCAGCGAGCCGGTTCAGCGCGGCGAGCTGCTGATCGAGGAGCAACCCTTTGCCCTGGGTCCCAAATGTAATGGATATGTGCTGTGCCTCAGCTGCTACAGACCTGAAGTCCAGGAACGTTGTGCCCTTTGCGGCTGGCCTCTATGCGGCCCTTGCAGCGACGGAGAGGAAGAGGAAGAAAACCATCATCTGCAATTAGAGTGCTCCGTGCTGAGGGCGGCCAGGGCGCGTTTCTATGAGATGCCAGCCGGCAGCAAATATTGGCCACAGCTGGACTGCATCATGCCACTGAGGTGCACAAAAATAGACATAAAAGCAGTGCCAACTTTTGACACACATAAATCTAGATTTATTTATGTGTTACAGCAAAAGTTCTGCATTTGTGGCAGCTCGGAGTCCATCAGCCATAGAATACTCGGGGGGGCCTCATCGAACGAGAATGTAATTTGATTCTGTTGGCCACAGCCATTAACAGCTGTTAAGTAGCTGTTAGCTGCTGATCATGTGCTGTTAAACAATTGTTAGTGGATTCTATTGTTCTTTATATATTTAAATATTTAATGGACTAGGTTTGCTAATTTATTTATAGCTAATCTTAGTTGATTTATCATTTGACTAGTGCCAACATTATTTTTTTATTTTATTCAATTCCTTTTCTTTTACTTATATCCGTCGTAGAGTACTGCTGGCTAAGGAGGCACAGCCGGAGCGTTGGCTAAATGAAGTAGCGCCCATGGAGCATCATGAGCTGGAGCGGCGCGAGAATGCGGACGTCTGGCATGCGGACCGTGTGAATATAGCCCAATATCTGCGCGGTCCGTGCAAGCTGGCGGACCGTTTCAGCGAGGAGCTCATCATGCAGGTGGTGGGCGTGCTGGAGGTGAATGCATTCGAGTCACGCACCAGCCAGGGCTACCCCTTGCGCTGCCTGTTCCCCTACACGGGCATATTGGCCCACAATTGTGTGCCGAACACGGCGCGTACCATTCATCCCAGCGAGGGCTACAAGTGAGTTGGAGCTCGCGCTCGTCCACAGTTTTTAACTTCCCCATTGCATTTGCTGTAGGATTCGCTTGCGTGCCATGGTCGATCTGGAAGAGGGCCAGCAGCTGCAGCACAGCTACACTTACACCTTGGACGGCACTGCACAGCGACAGGCGCATCTGCGCGAGGGCAAATACTTTGTGTGCAGCTGTGAACGTTGCCTGGACGCTAGCGAACTGCAGACACATTTCTCCAGCCTGAAGTGTGGCCAGTGCACCGAGGGCTGGCTGCTGCCCAAGCAGCCAACGGGTATTTCTTTTGCCTTCCACGCATTTCCGATATATACTGTGACTAAGCGGGGCCCCTTATCTCTTTGCAGTCGTGGAAAGCAGTTGGAGCTGCCGGTCGTGCGATTACAGCACCAGCGCCGAGGATGTGCGGCAAATTGTGTGCGCACTGCAGGCCGAGGTGAATGCTGTGCAGGCTCTGGACATGGGTCCGAAGCGTCTGGAGGAAGCGGAACGTTTGCTGCGCAAATACAAATCCCTGTTGCATCCATCGCACTACATTGCCACCAGTTTGCAGCAGCTGCTCATCGAGATGTACGGCCGTGTGCAGGGCTACGAGATGGTCCAGCTCACAGACCAGCTGCTGGAACGCAAGGCGATTCTCTGTCGCGATGTGTTGCGTGTGCTGAACGTCTTTGAGCCGGGCCTGAGTCGTGCACGGGCTATGAATCTCTATGAGCTGCATGTGCCGCTAGTGCTGCTGGCCAAAAGCGGCTTCATAGCCAATAAACTGACTGGTGGTGAGTTGCGTGGGCAGCTCGTGGATGCCATTGACCTGCTGAAGGAGTGCGTGGAGATCCTGCAGCACGAGGATCAGAGCTCCCAGGAGGGCATCTTGTGCAGTGTAGCCAGACAGGCGCTCCAACAGCTCACAATCAGCGTCGAGGGCCTGGGCAGCGAACTGGACTAGAGTGGAAACAAAGCGATTTGTATTTATTCATATGTTTATCATTGTTTATCATTAGATTTTTTGAAAACTATACACATATAGTCGAAGATACGCACATGTATTGATTTTGGCGGCCCCTTGGGACCATCAGAAGGAAACATAATAGATCAAGGATTTGTAGAACACTACACTTCGTGGTTGAGCAGAGCCGCGTCGTGATAGCGTGTGGCGTCTTTTAGGCTAGCGCGGGGCAGAAGCCAAAGCATCGGATGCCCTGGGCCAAATACTTGCGCCAACAATTGATATCTACGACGTTTTGACCAATATGCACCGTTTTGCTCCCTCGCCGCGAGCACAGTCTCATCGTACAGTATGACACTCAGCTGATCCAGCATAACGAGAGTCACAAACAGACCAAACAGCGTCGATTCCATCAGCAAAACTATGGTATGCATCCTAAGTAAGCAAGGCATTAATATCTGCAGACCTAGTTAGGGTTTGGATTTACAATTGGCTCTCAAGTAAACTCTTACTGCATCCCGCGCACGGAAATATCCAAGAGACGAGTACCAGCGTCACGGAGTAGAGACAGAGAATGCCCACATAGAAGAGAAACTGTAGAAAGTACTTCTGATTGCACTCGCCCACACAATTGTTTATGCACGGACAATGATGATCAGCGCGACATATGCATCGCTGGCATGTGGTACAATGATGGGCCCGTGGCGGCCTATAAATCTCGCAGAGTGTGCACAAAGTCCATTCGCCCCCTTGGTCAGCGCCAGAGTGTAAATCGGAGAAGTCAAGCCGCTTGGTGGGCAGTGGTACAAAGCCCGGATCTGAGAAGGCTGCTCTCCAATGCGACATGCCTAGCAGGAAGATAACCGTATTATAGAGCGCAACATTGAAGGCCCCAATGCTAGAAGTGAACGTAAAATAGATTAGGGATTAAATGGATAAAGCTGAATGAATGGGGAAATACCTCAGTGGCATTGTCGCCGGTATTATCCAGTAAATAACCACGTAATCTGCATAGATAATGGCGCCGTAGGTAACAATCAGGCAGATAATGCCACAGGGATCACGTACGAAAACCATATCCAATATCGGCCTCTATCGTCTGAGTGTGCGTGTGTTCGACAGAATCCGTAATTGAATTACAAATCGAAGCTGCCTCAGACCGATTTAAGGCTAAAGTAAGTATCAATCAAATCATTCTAGCTATAGACACATATTTAGTTGAGGGATGCATGGACAGCTGGGTTAATTTATTTCAAAACCATGTAGATACAAACGTTAAAGACAATAAATGTTTTGGGGCTCTCGCACATATACAGATTCACGGATGTCATATATAAAACAAAATAGAATTTATCAAACATCTTCTGAGTGATTTAGCTTAGAGCAGGGCAGTAGCCACAACATCGGATGCTCGGGGCCAAACACTTCTGTCAATAGCTGATATTTACTTAGATGTGGCCTATATGGGCCCTTGTGCTGTATCGCCTCCACCGTAGTCTCGTCGTGCAATATGGCGTACAGTTGATCCATCAAAATAAAGCTCGCTAACAGCCCAAAGAACGCCGATTCCAACATTAATATCAGGGTATGCATCCTAAGTAAACGAGGCATTATAATGTACACACATTGCTTAGCCTTCGGTTTACCATTGTGTCTCCTTCACAATCTGATTGCATTCCGTACTCGGCGATACCCAAGAGCCGAGTACTAGCGCTACGGAGTAGAAGGAGAGCATAGCCGCATAGAAGAGAAATTGCAGAAAGTACTTTTGATTGTTTTCGCCCACACAGTTATTAATCCATGGACAGTGATGATCCATGCGACGTATGCAGCGCTGGCATGTGGTACAATGATGGACTCGTGGTGGCCTATACATCTCGCAGCGTGAGCACACAGTCCATTCGCTGTGATGGCTCATACCAGGCTCTAAATCGGAGAAATCCGGGCGATTGGATAGCAGCGGTACAATGCCCGGATCTGTGAAGACTGCTTTCGAATGTGACATGAATACCAGGAGGACAATCGCATGGAAGACCACAACATGAAAGGGCGCCCAGATACTACAAGAAGAATATATGTTCTATACCAACATAGATAGGCCAGAATGAAGAGGAAAATACCTCAGTGGCATTGCTACTATTATTATCCATCGAATGACCACATAATCTGCGTAGATAACGGCGCCATAGGTAGCAATCAGGCAGATAATACCAGAAGGATCAAGTATGAAAACCATATCCAATATTTTTGTGTCTATCAGTGTATGATCGAAATTGAATAACAAATCGAAGCTGCTTTAGCATTGATCGAGCCAAATGATTGTGATCGACGTAGACTTGGAATCTATATGAGCTACATTGCCATTGAGCTGCTGCAGGAGTGTGTGGGGCTCCTGCAGCACGAATATCATATTCATAGGCGGACATCATCGATAATCCTCCTCCCGACGCAGTGAGACGGAAACAACTCGGTTTTTGTACTTATTCATATCTTTATCATTAGATTTATTGAAAACTATACACAAATAGTTGAAGATACGCATATGTATTGGTTTTTGTGGCTTCTTGAGACCATCGAGAGAGTTGCCTGTTCAATAGAAACAATTCGCTTAATTCTCAAATTGGATTCTGTGTTACACATAATTGCATATTAAGGCGTTCATTAGATCAGTTTCACTTGATTATGCTGGAATGACGCAGGCCATTTCATTTTGGGGCAATTCAAAGTTTACAATACAATATAAAAGTGGAAAACTTGATATTTTGTAACGCGACTTTCATGTGGTATTAATAAAAAACCGTATAAACATTGTAAATAATTTGCTAAAAGAATATACATTTTAGTTACAGACTAGTTCACGTTTTATTGCTGCAGTTCGAAAATTGCAAGTGTCATTCCAGCAAAAATTGAATTGCAATTAAAGCAATACGTTCAAATTAAACAATAATAAATATAAATTTAAGCAAATAAACAAAAATTACAGTCAATAAGTTTATCTTCCTCTGCCATTTGCTTACAATCAAACTAATTAGTTTAGGTCTTATAAATAATACGAGCTATTACCGCACATTCAATTGCCTGGCATTTAATGTTTATGTTTATTTGGTATATGAATTTCTTGTTCTCTTAAATGCTTGAAGGTCGTACTTTTTTTTTGATTTGCTTAATTGTTTGTTTTTTTTACACACATTTATATATTTATATATAGCTAAACATCTGATCGCTACGTATGCTTATGGAAAAACTAGGTTTGTTTAAAAAAATATTGAGTTTCTGTTGAGTATGTTTTGGCTCGACTGATGCAATCAATTATTAACTAAAGTGTTAATTAAACATTGGAATCTTGTTTGTATATAGTATATACAAATAAACAAAATATAAATATACATACATATACATAGCTTTGGGTTAAGGTAAGAGTTACGGGAATAGCCGGGTGGGTGGGTATTTTATAGCTTTCTTGATAAAAAAAAAATATAAACACAAATATAGATACATAAAACATAAAACAATGGATTTTGGGGGACTCTCACGCGCACACACGTATATAGAACGTAAACATAATACATACAAGATAATATAATTTATCACACGGCTTTTAAACATCGTGGCTGAGCAGCGGTGTGTCGTGATAGCGTGCGGCGTGATTTAGACTAGCGCAAGGCAGAAGCCACAACATCGGATGTCCACGTCCAAACACATCTGCCAACAATTGATATTTACGTCGATTTGGCCGATAAGCACCCTTCTGCTGTATCGCCTCGACTGCCGTCTCGTCGTACAATATGGCGTGCAACTGATCTACCATAATGGCAGTCACAAACAGTCCAAACAGCGCCGATTCCAACAGCAAAACGATGGAGTGAATCCTGAGTAAACAAAACATTCTTTAATATTATCAAACTTTTGGATTTGAGACATACTTACATGCGCAGCTGTGTATCAATTACATTTTGGCTGCATTCCGTACACGGCGATACCCAAGAGCCGAGTATTAGCGCTACGGAGTATAGGGAGAGAATACCCACATAGACGAGGAATTGCAGAAAGTACTTTTGATTGCGTTCGCCCACACAATTATTAATCCATGGACAGTGATGATCCATGCGGCGTATGCATCGCTTGCATATACGACAATGATGGGCTCGCGGTGGCCTATAAGTCTCGCAGCGTGTGCACACTGTCCATTCGCTACCGTGACCATTGCCAGATATCTGTTTGGTGCTGTTGTTGGTGGTGTGCAAATCGGAGAAGTCCAAGCGATTGGCGGGCAACGGTACAATGCCTGGATCTGAGAAAACTGCTTTCAAATGCGACATGCCTAGCAGGAAGACAACCGTATTGAAGAGCACAACATGGAAGGGTGCCCAAATACTAAAAGTGAAGGAGTATATATGTTGTATAGATACAGGTATACACAGTGGAGTCATTAATAGAATGAATGGGTGAATACCTTAGCGGCATTGTTGTCAGTATTATCCAGCGCATAACCACATAATCTGCGTAGATAACCGCGCCATAGGTAAAAATCAGGCAGACAATGCCACAGGGATCACGTATGAAAACCATATCCAATATCGGCCTTTTTCGTCTGTTTGTATGTGTGAGTCCGTAATTGAATTACAAATCGAAGCTACCTCAGCCCTTGCCTCTTTCCATTTAACGAGCCGAGTAATATTTTTGTTGCTACACTGCAGCTCAGCTGCTGGCAGCAACTCTTAGCACTTTTCACTCAATAATTTTCACTTAGCTATGTAATAACAAATGTTACTTAGTATCCCATTTAAATCTGTTCGTAAGTTTCATTTATTTATTTGTTGCTATTTTTCGATTCCAAATTTTTCACCCTAAGCCCCGTAGCGGTCATACACGATACAATTCTCTGCCAGTCAGATGTGATCGGTGCCCACACACGATACATCTTGTTGATTTGATGACATATGACAAGCTTTGCTTTGTTCATTCACACCTCATTTAAGTGTAGATTTTTGGAAGATCAGTATACAAATCAATATTATTTTTTGTATTTTATGTATGAATACAATTGATTATGCATAAAATTTATAGGATAGTTGTGTGACAGGAATGACGTGCTGATATCGAAAAGCCGATATTTAATAAATGATATCGGACGACATTTGCCTGCCACTACTCATCGATATTTTCATTAGTCATTTTTTACACAAAAGTAAAAGAAAAACGGTGCAAGTGATTATTCAGCAAATTTATTTAAGTATTTTGATTTAATTTAGGCAAATTACAAAAGTTTCTAATCTAACTATAAGAATAAAAGAGCGTTGGCAGCTGCCCATTCGGGAAAACTACAAAATAATACGCGATTCTATGTATGTTATTGTGACGCACGAAAATCGATTGCGTACCAGGCGACAACACCACACAAAAGTGCAAGTGCAGCTACAATAACAATATCACCAGCGGACAATTGACGACGTAATTAAACAGAATACAACAATCACACAAATAATTAACAAGCAGCTGAGTTTGGTCAACGAGATGGGCATATTTGGGCAATCGTCGTCCTTCGACGCCGATGTGGGTAAGTTTTCTGCTAATTTCTCACTTTCTCCAAGCACAACAATAACAATCGCCTTTGATGAAAACATTGTTTCGCTTGAAATTAATTTGCATTGCTGTCTGCTATATATTCCCTTATCTAATTTGACATTTTACCACCCCCTAAATCCACTCGGCAAACAAACAAAGAACATCTTAAATTAATTCCGAGTCACATGCGTCGCTTTGTCCAGAAGCTGCGCAGCTTTTGCTGCTGCGTCTGTTCATTGAACTTCTTTAAAGTTTTGTTTGCAGTCGCTGACCTTGAAGTCGGCGCCAGCAACCACCCACATCCCTTTCATTCCTTACATGTGTTTTGTGCGATATTCCGTCATGAAGAATTCAGACTACAAAGCTCAAAGTTTTTTAATCAATATTGAAATTTATAAATGATTAAAAAGCTCTGAAATTGAGTTCACTGAAGCCCAAACCATCCGGTTAATTAATAATTATTGTTAGATTCCCTGATTGTTTAGGCAGACTGTAAATAAGCCATGAGCTGAGAGAAAAAATATAAATGTTTATAAATTTAGACAATCTTAAATATTTGCATATATACTGCATTACGCTTGTGAAATGGGAAGTTAACCAAATAGTCTTTCGATTGCTGCAGATCCGGTTTTAAGTATATGTACATATATAAGACATGTTTTCAAGAAAATCACACTTATATATATTATAAATATGTTTATACTACATATTTATCTACTTCAATTTAGTTAAACAACTCAGGTTCAAAGTTCAAGATATGCTAACTAAATTGTGGGCCATTTAAATATTCTATAATCCATGGTGTTGTATATATAAATATACCATACCCTATACTATTCGCTGTTTTGGCTTTCTTGTCTGGCCTCTTTTTAATGCAATTTGCTGTATATTATATTGATTTTGCTTTGATTCTCTGCCTCGCTTATCGCCTTTCATAGACGCGCACTGTGAGTCATTCACCGATAAGTAAACAGAACTGTATTCTGTTCTGACTTTTTTTTTTTTTTACACATTATAATAGATAACGCAGTTAATCCATAGACTTCTTATAAACCCCTCGATTGTTGTTTTTCGCTCATCCACAGAAAAGGCCACCAGCGAAACGAATACGAATGATAATTGGTCTTTAATAATGGATGTGTGCGACAAGGTGACGACCAATCCGCGTTTAGCCAAAGACTGCCTGAAGGCAGTGATGCGACGCATGGGCCATCCTGATCCTCATGTCGTCATGCAGGCCATCACACTGCTGGATGCGTGCGCCAACAACTGCGGCAAGCCGTTCCATCTAGAGATGGCATCGCGCGACTTTGAAACTGAGTTCAGACGCCTGTTGGACAAAGCGCAGCCGAAAGTTGCCTTGGTAAAAAACAATATAAATATATATTCAAAACTTTTATAAATCAAAACCATTTTGCTTTACAGAAAATGCGTCAGGTGTTCAAGAATTGGGTTGAAACTTACTTCAAGAATGATCCGGAACTAAATCTAATTCCCACGCTGTATCTGAAGCTGCGCCTTGATGGCCACGACTTTAGAAATTTAAACGACAAGGGCAGCGACAAATCAGCAGCAGCTAAGGCGGCAGCTGCTACGTTGGCCAAAGATCCGAATGTGGTCAGCAGTCAGCAGGAGGAGGATGATATAGCCAAAGCTATAGAGCTGTCGCTCAAGGAAACCAAGAGCAGTCCCAAACAGCAGCAGACAGGTGGCGCAGCAGCTGCTTCAACGACCAGCAGTGCCTATCCCTCGCTGTATCCCTCATTTGGCGGCAGCACAGCGAGCACGCAAAGCAACGGAAATGGAAATGCCAGCAGTGGCAATGCTTCTGCTGCTGCATCGCGCACTGTGCGCGCCTTGTACGACTTCGAGGCAGCAGAGGAGAATGAGCTGACCTTCTTTTCGGGCGAAATCATACACGTGCTGGACGACAGCGATGCCAATTGGTGGAAGGGCTACAATGACCGTGGGGAGGGTTTGTTCCCTTCCAATTTCGTCACTGCCGATTTGTCTGTAGATCCCGAACGCTTGGATATCAATCAACAACACAAAAACAATGCCCAGAAACAGGCAGCAGCCGAGGAGGAGGCGCTGTTGCAACAAAAGACTGAAGCGGCTGCCGCACAGCCCGTTGAAATCGATGAGGCCAAAATAGACCGCTTGCTGCACTTGTTGCACGAGGCCAATCCCGAGGATCCCTCGCAAGACAGCGACGAAATGCTGCGCTTGGAGCAGCAGGTACACCAAATGGGCCCCCTGATCGATGCCGAGCTGGAACGGGTCGATCGCAAGCATGCCCAGCTGACACAGCTGTCCAGTGATCTGGTGGATGCCATCAATCTATACCATTCGCTCATGCGTGATGATCGTGCAGCTGCAGCTCAGTTTGGTGGAGCTGGCTTCATGCCCGCCGGCTTCCCAGGCGCAGCACTGTATGGCGCACCTGGCTATCCCAGCGCAGCAGGCTTTCCGCCAGGTCAAAGCTATCCGGGCATGCACTCTCTGCCGTATGCGCCGCCACCGGGCAGCAATGCAGCAACAGCCACAGCCACAACGGCCGCGCCAGTTGCAGCTTATCCTGGCCAAGTACCCATGCCATACCAAAACGGACATGCCCCGCAAATGAACAGTAAATTATCTTATTTTCATATTGTTTGATTATTTGTTAATATAATTCAATTTGCTTGCAGTGCTGCCGCCTCATTTATCCCAGTCTCCAGCGGTTCCACCACAGTCACATCCCACCCACCCTCAGCCTGTCTACAATGCCCAGCCTACGCCAGTCACTACTCAGCAGCAGCAACCCCAGTCGATTACAAATTATCCCATGCCATTGCCCGTTGAGCAGCAGCAGCCGCAACAGCAACAGATGCCGCCTTCCACGCTGCCACCGCAATTCGCCGGCGCACCACCAACAGCTACACAAATTCAACAGCAACAGCCACCGCCGCATGGTTATATGTCGCCCCAGCACCAACAGCAGCAGCAGCAGCAGCAACAGGCTTTACCGCCGCAGACATATTCAGCTCAGCCGCCGCAGTTTTATGCACCAAACGGAGCTCCACCAGTTACACAGAGCTACATGGCGCCACCGCAGCAGCAACAGCAACAACCACAACAGCAACAACCACAACAGCAACCACCACAACCCCAACCCCAGCAGCAACAGCAACAACCACACAATCACAACGATAATTTTAGTCAGCTACATCAGCAGATGGCAGCCATGTCGATGGCGCATCTTGGTGGCATGCCGCCAGCCGCATCGGGTGCGGCGCCCGCATATCATATGCAAAACGATGCCGTCAAGAACAACATTCCTATCTATCAGCAGCAGCGGTAAAACCGTTCAATCTGCTCGCCAGCAGCAGCAGCAATCGACTTTGCTTTAGCAATTGCCAACAAGTCTTTTTTCAAAATTTCGTTTTAATATATAAAGGCCCATTGAAAATTAGTTTCCACTGGAATTTAATTTTATTTTGATTGTTTTTCTTTTAATCACGGTATCAGAACTAATGTATTGCCAAAAAAAAAAAACCTAAATTGGATTGTTTTCCTTTTAATCATTTTTTTGTTATTCGATGAATTATGTGTGTAATCTCTAAGTAAATATCGGGCAAATGTTTGCAAAAGCGCCAAAAACTAAGTTTTTAAATAAGCAAAAGAAGAATGGAAAGTGTTTTAATGCTATTTATATACCATACACCATATAAATATTCTATATTATATATAACTCTAAATTGAGCGTTGAACGAGGAACACAGTTTGACGGCGAATCAAACAGAATTCACTATCACTATTATGTATTATGTTTATTATACTATTATAATTATATATATGATGATATAAATTAACAAACGATACGAATCACATTCACTATGTAAACCATTAAAAAGTTGATCGGATCCAAATGCTGATCGAATAATAATATAACTATTATAATACATTCATTTGTTTGCTTAATTTGCTTTGTTTAACGTGTGCGCAGCTTGATGTAGCGTTTAATGTAATACTCCTCGTCGATCTTATCCAGCATCAGCAGACGAATCTGCAGCATCTCGCGACGATATCTGGATTCCTTTGAGTTCAGATTGGGCGCATTTAGCCACGCCTGCACCTCCGAGTATAAGTCAATGAATTTGCGGCGATTTTGTATAGAATGTGCCGGTGAGTCGTTCATGTTGTTTAATGCCCGCTTGTCGCTTACTAACTGTGCTAGCCACTTCGACATTGTTTTGAGAATTCACTTAAACTTTGCAGTTACCGACTTTTATTGCTGGCAAAACTTATTTTTTACCTAACCACCTGTGAGACTTAAGGGCCTAAACTAAAATTAAACGGACTATTTATCATTAACAATGCAGATAGAAAGCTCAATTATGGGCCTAATTAAGGTAAAGCTGCAGCTGTCTGAAAGGTTTGTGCATATTGCGTATACGCCTGCGAGCTGCAACTTAATGGAAGCATTTTTACTTAATAGGTCTATTATTTCATATTTGATTTCTGTGAATCAATTTAGCAACTTTAAAATTATTATTATTTATAAATTCTTATATTAAAAATGAAAAAAAAGTAATTTTGCATCGCTTAACTCTAATATTAACCATAAGATTGAAGTTCACATTGCGTATACGTATTGCAGTTGAATCAAGCTTAATTTATAAACATTTCAGACCAAATATTTATAAAAGCTTTTTACTCAAAATTTATTAAAATTGAAGTCAACTTCGAATTCGCATATTCAATTCGATTAGATCCGTTAAACTTGCAGAATAGTCGGAGAAAAAACTTATCGATACTTTGAATGACGTCAGAAAATCAAATTTAACATTCAAGGTTTTCTTCGTTGCTGGTGCGTGACCTTCACACTGAAACAGCTTTTGTATAGCTTGGCTGATCAGCTGTTCGCATGTAAACAATATTCATTGATTTTGGTGCTTAGTGCGTAGAATTGTTATTTAGGCTACCAAGACAGGTTCAGTCACGTAATCGAACACAGAGAGAAATGTGCACGCTACACATAGAAGAGGAAACACATTTAGCTGCCATGAGCAGCAAATCTCGCACACGAACACCCAGTCCAATGCCAATACGAAGGATACATTACGGCGAGTTGACACTGTTCGACATTAACTGGGATGATGTGCTTATTCCAAAGATTACTGCCTACCTTTCGATCAAGGATCTCTTCAATTTACGAAGCTGCTCGCGCACAGCATTACGTTTGGCAGAAGCCGCCCTGGAGATGCGAACGGAGCTCCACTTGTCTGGCAATAATTCCAGAAATATAGAGCTCGGCTTCAAGGTCCTGTCCCGTTGCTGTCGTCGTCTGGAGCACCTGCACTTGGCCAGCTGCAAATGGTTGACAGATGAGCTCCTCCTGCCGCTGCTCAATAATAACAAACAACGCCTCAGCGCCGTCAATCTGAATGAGTGCACCAACATAACGGCGCTTTCGCTGCAGCCCATAATCGTGCAGTGCAAGGAGCTGCGCATCTTGAAGCTCTCCAAATGCCAGTGGCTGACCACGGGCGCTGTGGACGCCCTCACCCTGCACCAGAGCAAACTGGTCGAATTCGATATATCACATTGTGGCGCCATTGGCGAACGCTGCCTTATCATCTTCTTTCGCAAGCTCAACAAGCTGACCATCTTATCGTTGGCTAACACGCCCAGCGTCACGGATCAGGTGCTCATACAGATCGGCAACTATTGCCGCGAGCTAGAACACATTAATCTGATTGGATGTGCTGCCATCTCCGACTACGGAGTTCAGTAAGTATCAATACCTCACGTTGTGAATTGTACACACAGGCGTACAACATGAAGTTGTGTGTGTGCGTGTGTTTGGATATGTGTCACTGTTAAAACCCGATCAAACACGAGTGCAACAACATAACAGAAACCAACTTAGAGCAAACTAAAATTGATAAACCCTTTGTATTGTCCGAATCCATCTATATAACTCTTATTTAGGCTCCCTGCACATTTTATTTTATCTACTGGCCTTAAGACAGATATTAAAAGTCGCAACATTGCTTCATTTTCATACAAAGATCAACGCGCGTCACGTCACGCTGTTAAACTAACAGAGCGCTTTGCATAGCCAATTATCACTCAATCCTGTGTTTGTATTTGGATGTCTGTGTGTGTGTTTACTGTGTGTCGTCCATTCGGCTGCGACTGCAACTGCACACACATATGCATCTATATTTTCAGTGCACTCAGCGTAAAGTGCAAGAGTTTGCAATCGCTGCGTATTCAACGCTGCCATCGGATCACGGAGCGCTCGTTGGCGCCACTGCGTCATCGGGTGCACATTGATCGACCACGTCCACGCCAGGATGCGCTCAATGCTTACAACTTAAACGATTTCTATCCCAGCGACTTTCTTGTTTACTAGTTCCACAACAGTCTCTCTCTCCCTCTTTTTCTCTCCTGCTCACTCTGTCTCTCTCTTTAGTGCACTGACGAAGAGCTGCCCACATCTGCAGTCCTTGATGGTGCAGCGTTGTCCTTTGGTAACGGAACGTGTTCTGGCTCCACTGCGTGGACGTCTGCACATCGATCGGCCGATCATGGGGTACAATCTGCCCGCCATGCAGCATCGCCTGTACCTGCAGGTCTAAGAGATTATCTACTAAATAATAATCCAACTTATCTAGAGGCTAATGATAAACGGGAGGCATGCTGACAACATCTTTGTAAATACGGACGTCATTGAGTAGTTTAATACAGTTGTTTAGCTTAAGCTTACACTTCTTAACATTAATTTAAGCTTTACAAACATCTGGACACTCTTCAACTCATGCTGTAATATATATGTGTATGTATGTATTTAAATAAAATTCTAATATTGTATTAAAATATTGAAATTCTGCTAATTGTAGACGATGCGTTTTTAATAACAGTCAGTTCAAATGCCATACAGAGCGATAACATAGCTCTGTTAATTGTCAATAATTACTAGCTTTCTGCCTCTGCTATTATTGTTGTTATTGTTTCCCAGCCAATTTGCCTACCTTAAAATTGGACTCAGTATATTGAACAAAAGTTTCCAACTTTTTACTTACAAATGGTACTATAAAATGCTTAAAAAGCGTTTGCAAAAAAAATTGCCACCAATAAGCGTACAAATACAAATTGTGTGCATTAATATTTCCCAGGAACATTCCCATCATTGTGCTGATATTAGAGACGAGCTCGAGGTAGTTTTTGTTCCCGCTTCTGCACTGCTGCCCACGGTCAGCTTAAGCTGGGTTAGGTCGTGGGTAAGGCCGTTGTTATTGGCTTTCCAACGCTCGTGCAATTGATTGAGGTGCTTATAGGCGGCCATGGAGATGTTCAGGCTGGGCATAACAGCGTTCAGGCCTGGCTCACGGATGAAAGCGAGGCCGCACAGGCCCAGGTACGTGTGGAAGGGATCTGGCGTGGATTTTGGCCACTTGGCAAAGCCTCCAATCAGATTATTCTGTGTGCTCAATACGGATTCGCGATTCTGGGCATAGTCGGTCAGCTCGAAACCATTTAAAATGCAGAGAGCGGCGCCAATCCAGAAGGAATAGCACGTGTCCACTGGCTTGTTCGGACGACCTTGGAAGCCATCCATTTGCCGAAAGACAAGCCATCGCTTTATGCGCTCCACCGTCACATCGTCCAGCCGATCAAGCTGCCCGCTCAGCTCCAGTGCGGCCAGCGCACAGAAAGTGGTGCCACCATGCGCCTCGCCCTCCAGCTCCTGACTGAAACCGTAATCGTAGCGCAGGCTGCGCATTATAAACTCAAACATGGCATCCTTGTTCACGCCCTCCCAGCAGTCGAGCATGTGGCAAATAGTTGCGGCACAATAGACGAAACGCATATCATTCTCGCTGCCGTCAATGGATGCACTAAAGCTGCCATCCGCATGCTGGACTGCCGCCACGCCCTGCACAATGCTCTGCCGATTCAGGCGCGACAAATCATCGCCCAGCGTCACTAGCACCGCAATACTGGTGTACGTCATGGCCAGGTGGCCCCACTGATACGCGCGCATACATTCCAGCACCTCAGCGTCCTCTGTTTTGGGCACCATGGCGCGGCAGCCCTGCAAAAGACAAAACACCAAACGAATGAAATTGTTAATGATGTAAATGGGGCTGGATGTCGTACACTAAAGTGCTTATGCGTGTCACGGCGTACTTGAGGTGATAAAAATTGCGATAAGAGATAAATTTTACTGTTGGGCGGGCTAAGTAAACAATGAAAATGTTAAATCAATCAGACATATTCATTAAATTTAAATTAGATAATTTAGAGTAAAAGCCTGTATATATTTCATTTACAGCTTATATCTCACAAAATGTGATAATGTGATGTGAAATGTAATAAATAATGAACTCATCTATAATTGATATATATATATAGCATTCTAAAGTTTTACAATAACAGCAAGGTGGTATCTGAGTCAGGTACGAGAGTATTCTTAGGTTACACCAAAGCTAAACAAAAACTAAATAAACTAAGCTATTTTGTTTATATACATAATTAATCAAATTCAACTGAAAAGTTCTCAGCTAAGAATTTCCAGATTCTAAAAGCTATAACTGGTTTATGAAAGTCGCAATTACTGACAAACTGCGACTGTTTACTGTGCATGTTTGTTAATGTTATTAAGATCCGTGTAATTTATAGCAATGGCATTCAAGATGGGAAGTGGAGCGTTTGTCGCAGTGGCTGCTGCAGCTCCACGTAAAATGAGATAAGGTCAGAGACATTTGTGTTTGGTTGGTTGATGAGTCGTCGTGCTTATTTGTTTGTTTATCGTATCTGACAGGCTGACTGTCTGACTGACAGGTATTTATGCTCACCATAAAGCCTCCGCATTGCCTTTCATGGTCACGTGGCGTTACGAGGCCGCCATATGTCCAGTCTATGATGTCCTTGCGCAACTCTGGCGATATCAAGTGCAGAGAGTTAAGCACATCCAGGCCACAGACGGCAAAAAAGACTATTGTGCTCCTATGTGAATATATCTCTGGTCGAATAGTGTTACTTTGGAAAGGATGTGACGTTCTCTTACCTGGTGTTGTCATGTGAGGACATACGCGCCGGCAACAAGTGCAGGAAGCGCAGCAGATATTTTGCGTGTTTGGCGAGCACCACAGGCTCTGGCTCGGCAGGATCTGTCATATCTACAATGTGATAAGACATTTTGTATATATTTGTTTTGCTTCCCTCTTGCTTTTGTTTATCTTTATCAAAGCGCTTGTGTGTGTATGAGTGAGTGAGTTTTGGCTATGACTAAGCGTCACACTGCTTTCATAAGAGATGCTGGCGCAGCAATGGTGTGCTACTAAATGACAGTGCACTGACACGTGCACGCATTTAAATACCCAGGCATTACCTTATTTTTATTATAAGCCGGTTTGTTGCATTGCTCTTAAGTAAATTGAGCAAGAAAAATCGTTGCACAGTTGCTTCTTTACGTACTTTACGGGTACTAAATATTCGATATTCATTTTATAAACGATAGTTGACTACTATCGCTTTCTTCTAAAATGTCGCCGAGTCAATGCGAACGTCATACCAGAAACAGCTGTTTGGGGCCGCATTGTATAGTTGGTTTTTCGTCTATAAATTGCGATTATAAATAAAAGTTTATAAAATGCGCATCACACAATATCTAACTAGTAAATTAAAGAACTTCTCAAATCTGCCAAAAGAATATATTGAGCGGAGCAAAAAGCAGGCAAGTAATTGGTTTCTTTAAATTAACAAGCTGAGCTACAAGCTCACGTAACAGCTGAAACATTGATGAATGCGTGTTTCTATTCCTGTTGTAATGTCTGCAATATCTACAGGTATATTGGAAAACACCTGCCGAGAAAAACTATCTGCAAACTACTGTTGAGCGGAAGCGTTTTCGCTATACCACAAACCGCTCATGGACAGGCCACTTCCGTCAACAGAATATGCCGGGCACTATGCGACGAAAAGTATTTGTAGAGCCCGTTGGTAATTATAGTATTATAATTTGGTAAATAGTTGATTTTTAAATATCGGCTATGCCTTTTCAGAGGATTGGAGCTTCTTCCGAGGCGATCGCATTGAAGTGTTGGTCGGCAAGGATAAGGGTAAACAGGGCATTGTCACTCAGGTAATACCCGAACGCAATTGGGTTATTGTGGAGGGTATCAATTGGCATTACCGGCGTGTGGGCGCTGAAAAAGAGTTCCCCGGCATTATTATCAAGTCCGAGGCGCCGCTTCATGTCACCAAGGACATACGTCTTGTGGATCCATCCGATCTCCAGGGCACCGAATTCGAATGGCGCTTCACCGAAGAGGGTGAAAAGGTGCGAGTGTCCACGCGTTCGGGCCGCATCATACCAATTCCAGAGACGAATAACCAAACGTATGATTACAAAACACCCAATGCGTATATCGAGCGTGAAAAGGATACTCCAGCTGCCGTCGTTAGCGAAATTACCTTCCAGCCGAAACTGGCGACCTTTGAAATGGACATAATGGAGGAAATGGGCATAAAGGAGGAACGTACGCCGGCCAAGAGCTATTGGTATTAGACAATTGTTTACTTCTGTTTTGTTCAATAAAAATAAATAAATAAATGTTAATGTTTTTTATATGACTTATATCACTGTTCTTTGGTCAGCGCTTATATTGATAGTCAGTTTGTTAACATAACTAAGGGACAATGTTATTTTAACATTTAAAAATCTGTTATAATAGCGCGCGAAATTTAATTATTTGACGTATTTCAATCATTTAGGTATGAATGTTTATAATAAAAATAATAAATAATTTAAAAGTATTTATATTTAATTATATTTTTTGACAATATGTTTAATAAAGCTAATAAGTAAACAGGAATTTCTCTTAATATAAAAAGCTAGAAAAAATACTTGAATATGTTTGAAAGCGGTATTTCATTTGCCCGCCGCGCTAAAAGTCTCCTCCCGATGCTCTCGCAAAGTTCGCGCCAAGCGTCGCACCGTCTCTTCCGCCTTGTCGAAATCACTGCGTAGAGTTTTATTAAATGTGTCATAGAGCCAGGTGCATGTCTTGGAAATATTCACTTCATAGCTCGTAAAGACGCGGGTCGTGTGCTCATATCTGGTGGAGAAATAACATAAGTGGGCATTTTGAAAAAGCTAATTCCATGGCAAACTTACCTCGCTGCATTCGCAATGTCTGTGATCAAATACGTATTGCAGTGGTTAACAGCCAGCACCTGGCGATTGCTCATGTACTTGAGCTCCACATGTGGCAGAGCCAATTGGGCTGCCTCCAGAGAGGTTAGAGATGCATGCAGCAAACTGCGACAATCCAATGCTACTTGCAATTTTTGCTTGGGGTCGCTGCAAATTGTAGAGGATTATTAGATTTCATAACCTTATGAAATATTAAATTTGTGCTTTTCCGTTAAAAGAAATGTTAACATATAAATGGCTGTCGGCATACAATTAATCGACATATCGAGCTTACCTTATCGATTAATCGGAACTTTTAGTATTCAGTGAGTTATCATTTTCGGTTTTAATTTAAATTTGATCAATCAATTTGAAGCATGCACTCACATTATCCTATTCAGCTGCCGCCACTGCTTTAGCGCCTGCGTGGACGAGTTGGCTGCAGCGCGTAGCAGCAGCCCACAGATGCGCCACTGTTCCAGCGCACTGCCCAGCTTGTCACGTGTATCGCGCGCCACCTCTAGCTGCTCATCGATGGTCTCCTCGAGCCGGGTCATGTAGGTGCCGCCACTAATGTAGGCAATAATACCATCCTGATTCACGTTCAGGTCATTGAGCTCCGCGTAGCTGGCGGTTAGAGCCTTGAGCCGTTGCTTGGTGTGATCCAGGAGCTCACCATAGTATCGTATGCTAAGTAAGTAGAGCGCCGATTCGCTCAAATTGGCAAAGAAGTCCTCGTGCATGGAAGCCTTGCGTGGATCACCAATCACGCCTAAATTATGGGCCAGCTTTATAGTTTTGTTTTTGGTAATTCGAGACGAAGGTCAGAGACATTATTATTATAATTCTAATGGCAAACACATTCCATATAATAATTGAGGGCATTAAGCACGTGCCAAGGCGCTAATTATTGAGCACTCACCTGGGCCAGGTCCTTGGTGGGCGTGTTAGCAACGATTTCATTGCCCGCCCGCTCGTTGCCCAATGTCAAGGGGTAGCTACTTAATTGATGTGCCTCCGACTCGCCCCTCTGCCGGTTCGAGTGGCTTTGCGCTGTCGCTGGACGCCCACTGTGTTGCATGCCGTCCAGGCCCAGCATAACATCGCGCTTGGCCTGTAGATGCTCGATCCATGCCTCGACGGTGGCCATGCGCGGACCCGGACAAGTGCCCTCCAACTTGCTGATCCGCTCATCGAGGCGTACGTATTGCTGCACAATATTCTGGACACACACACAGCTCAGGATTCGAGAAGTATTGATTTCGAAATATTCATAAATTTTACCGTTACTTTGGCTCCGCCATTTTCTTGCAGACGCAATGCACCATTTGGTGGCAATTGTCCTCTAGCGCTCGACTGTGTCTCCATGGACGAACCGCAGCCCATCACTCAGTCGCAAAATGATGGCATTTTCATCAGACCTTGCAATATACCATATAGTCGATGTCGTTTTCGAAAGTGCGGTTAATTTATTATATATAGTTACGTCCGTAACGCTCGCCAGCCACATGCCGAATGCGCGGACAGTGGCGGTCCCATTCGTCCGGTTCGCCTGCTCCACTTATGACGGGGGGGAAAACAACATTTTCGCGTTACTTGCTCAATGGACACCGAATGGACACCCACAAGCACAGCCAGTCAACCACCCGCATCCACATACCGCGTGCCTCATTTGCCCATTCACGCTGAACCATTAATGCTTATTAGGGCGCAGGTGGGTCAGCCACAAGAAGTGGGTGTGGGAGTGGGTGGTAGGCGTAGTTCAGGCAGTTTTGCTTGTATGTGTCAACAGCTTGTGTTTGCTTTTTGTTGCCTTGCATGTCGATCCAGCATGTTGTTATTGTAAATGGCCACACATATACATGGTTAAGTTGACAAACTAACAAACAAGTAAACAACAACAACCACGCCGCCAACAACAATAACAAATTAGAGCAGCTGCAATGAAATAGGTGTTACCAAATGCTAGAATTTATGCTGCATCAGCACTTTAGTAGCTAATAGGCTCATAACATAATCCATCAACAGGATAACCATCTTGATTATGATAAATTAACGGTAAACTCAAAGCATACCAAAGCGCTCTAAAGCTTTAAATATTCAGGCCAAGTGTGCATGCTATCCATTTTAATGGAAATATAAACGAGATTCGTTTCAGCTAAAGGTAAACTGATTTATTTTGTTGACTCTCATTAAACAATTGCTTTTATTAATATTGTGAATAATTGTTTTTTAAAGGAAAAAACTGCTTAAATAAAAATTTAATTTACATTTGATACAATTATAGGATTTACTATAAAACTCAGCTTGAGTTAAGCAATTTGCTGAGGCAGAACAAAAAATTCATATTTCCCATGCTGCTTAAAAATATAAACTTGCTTAGCACAAAGCCAATATACCCATTTCACCCATTTCATGAAGAGGTATGCCAAATTGTTTGCTTTACAAAATTTATAGCCAAATATACGCAATAGCTGAATGTATGATTAAATCAGGATCTTATATGTATATTGATTTATAATGACTCATCAAATATTTGTTTTCGGTAGTAGTATTTCAAATTAAACAATGGCTTATAAACTTTTGTAATATTATATGAAAATATTTACACTTTTAAATCTATGAAAAATATTTAACATATCGTTGCCTTTTAAAATTTATCATTTAAAATTGTAATCTGTGTTCAGCAAATCATTTGTAATTCTTAAACGTCATCTAAACACTATATTTAGAACTGTGAACTATTTTGGCAATTATTTTGCTGGCAAAGGTTATTGCGAGTTGGTTATTGATGAGGCTCATTTGAAGCACCTGTCGTTGGCAGGTAATTACTTGATTGACTACCGCCGAGACCTTCGACAAATCCCTCGAGCTATCACATACATATGCTTCAAAGTTTACGTTGTGTGGCCCAAATTGTTTTTGTTTTAGCGTCCTCAAACATACAGTGGATATAGGTAAAATATTATAGGTCATAAATCAGAGTATGCATTCAATATTTATATACAGATATAGTATCTATGTATATGTATATTATAATAGTTATGATTTATTTAAAAAAGAGAAATCCATTAATTGAATTCATTTAATTTGATCGGAATCTCTTATAATTCTTTTCAACTCTATTTCTTCTATAATCAATAATATTAAATTAATTCTACTTATGTTGACAATCGATACTGTTAATCACTTATAATGAATAATTGAATTGAGTTGATAAAGCCTAATTAAATAATGACTTAATTATTATTTTTGTGTAGTTAGACAAGCGAACTACCTATTCAGACTTTAAAATACTTATTGTAGATAGAATAATACTTCCTAATATAATATATTTTTGTTCTGGGTCAGCTGTTATCAAATACTGGATTGACTTGATATTCTGTTATCTGAAAGCAGGAAAATAGAGAGATAAGCAACTTCGATTTTTGCCGTTTTCCTGCAGTCGCCATTTGATACGCATTCCGTTCGGACTGACACATAACAACCAATTCAAATAAAAGACCAATTATTGGTTTCCCCGTATCGTCGACATGAAGCAGATAAAATGCCTGATAAGCTTTCTGGAATCAAGCGCTAATGTTTTCCTGCTCTTGTGGATGACTCTATGTGTGGTGATCTATGCCTACCTGCCGAATATGCCTCGAGTTGTGCCCCAACCGGAGATCGCAGTGGATCCGAGCATGCCGTACAGTGAAGATCCGCAACAGTTGATCGATTTGCATAATTTTGAGTACATCATTGAGCAGCCCTCGTGTGCGCCCCATACCCAGGCGCTTATCATGGTGCACTCGGCGCCAGGCAACGCTGAGAGGCGCTCAGTGATACGTCAAACCTGGGGTCATGTGGCGACCAATTCAACCTCTCAATCTCCACTTCGTCTCGTCTTTCTCTTCGGCACTGTTGCGGATGACGAGCTGCAGTCGTCGTTGCTGGCGGAACACGAGCAGCACAAAGACTTGCTGCAGGGCAATTTCTTGGATGGCTACTACAATCTAACCTACAAGCATGTGATGGCTCTCAAGTGGTTTCACACTCACTGCGAGCAGGCGCGCCTGTTGGTCAAAGTCGATGATGACATCTACCTCAATACGCCGCAGCTGCAGCATCACTTGAGCCATCCATCCCCACCTTGGAATCCACTCTCCGCTCTTCATTCTCAGCGGCAGCTGCTGCTGTGCGCCATCAACAAGAGGGATCGTGTAGCACGTTCATATTCCTCCAAGTGGCGTGTCGGTTTCCAAGAATACCCTCATCGTTACTATCCGCCCTTCTGCCCAGGCTTTGCAGTCTTCTACTCCTCGCAGGTGGTCAGGCGACTCTACTTTGCTGCTCAAGCCAGCAACTTTTTTCGACTGGATGATGTCTTGGTCACTGGCATTCTCTCTAAGCGCTGTAATATTACCCTAACAGATCTGAAATCTTATGTGCTATATCCGAATAAACTGAAGCTACTGCTTAAGGGACGCCTAGAACCGGAACAGTATCTAGTTTCCTGGCACAAAATGTCACCGCAGCAGATTATTGGACTGTGGCAGCTGCATGGGATGGTTAGTACAACAAATACATTAAAATAAAAACATATGAATAAGGCTTTAAGGTAAGGAACGCCTTGTGGGTATATCTCAGATAATGTACATAGAAAACTTTTTGATCTTGTATGTATACAAATATTTAAGTGTATTAGCTGCTAACTTAACAGTTGTTATAATTAATTTATATAATTTTAATTAATTTAATTACCTCTAATGTATTACAAAAAAATAAAACGTATTCTGCTCTAATAAATAGCTGGCCGTATTATCATATTGTACTTACAAATAGCCGAAGGAATCCACATATGGATATCCATTTGTTTTATTTTCATAAATTATATAAACATATAAACTTATGTCCGTAAATCACAAAAATATTTGAATTTTGCTTGATTCCAACACTTGTTCACTGCGCGGCTTGCCTACACAACAGATGTTTTAACAGCTGTCTTTTTAATTCAGTGCTGTAAAGTGTGTGAATTTGCATGCTGAACTGGAACCAACTAGTTCCATTTATTAATAACCAGTTTGCGAAGAAATGCAAATATGCGCATAAAATAACAGTGCAAAAGAAAAGCAGAAATAAATCAAACATAAAAGAACATTTGCAAGATGTCTGTGCTGCGTTTTCTGGTAACGCGAGAGGCACTGGCAACGCTAACAAAGCGTTCACTAGTGCCGACTCTCCAGAATAGTCGCGCAATATCATCCTTGACCAACAGCAACAACCACAGCTACAAAGCGATTTTCGCAGCTAAGGCAATTGAGACCCCAACGCAACAACAATGGCAACAACAACAAACACGCGGCCACAAGCGTTTTGGCCATGGCGAGGAGAAGACACCTCGGGTAACCAAATATTTCCATTTGATGGTGATCACTTTGTTTATCATCTCGGTGCTGGACTGGGGCAAGTATGTAGTCGTCGAGTTAAATCAATAAATATCGTTTAATGTATGTATGTAATAAATCGCGTCTATTTATAGAGTGAAACGTCTGATCGTGCCGAAAGTGGACGCCGATGCGGGTCAGCGCCCATCTGATGCGGCTGGAGTCAATGGCGAGAGCAATTCCGAAAGTTCTGATAGCGACGAGTCGGACGACGATGACGCCCGCCTGAACCCACACGACGGCAAGAAGGTTAAGGAAAAAGTTGGGTTTCGCGAGCGCAAGGTATGCGATATATAAAGCGGACGCCTTTCCGAAGTCTTTCTAAATCTTTTGTGACTATGCAACTGCTGTATCTATAAATTTGTACTTCTTTACTTAAGTTGACTTATGCCTTTTGTTTCTCTTTATGTTTGCCCGTCAAATTTTCTGTTGCCATCACACACACACTCCACACGAATCAACAATCAAACAAAAAACAAACAAACATCATCAAATCATAGATTATTGAATACGAGAATCGTATCAGACAATTCTCAACGCCAGATAAGATCTTTCGGTACTTTGCCACGGTGCGCCTACAGGATGCCACTCAGACAATCGTATGCATGACACCCGAGGACTTTTTGCGCTCTATCTATCCGGGCATTAAGCAACCAGATGGTAATTCTGTTATATAGGTATATTTAGATTGTAAATACTAACACGATCACAACGGATCACCTCAGCGTCGCAGTTTTATGTTGGCGTCAGCTTAGTTCTTTCGATTTCTGTTCAATTTTGCAAATCTTCTTCTTGTTCTTTCTCTGCTTCTGCCTGCACTGCCTGCGTGCCCGATCGCACTAAATGCTAAATAGAAAAACTAAAGACTACAATTAATTTTTCCTGAACGCTTATTGCTTAGATTATTGAGTATGAGAATCGCATCAGGCAATTCTCGACGCCAGACAAAGTATTTCGCTACTTTGCCACCATCCAAGTGCCGGTCGCCGACGATCGCCATGAGGTCTACATGACACCAACCGATTTTTTGACTAGCATGACGCCAGGCATGAAACAACCAGATGGTATGTGTCTTCAAAATCCCTGACCGTACTTCCACTTCACTCAGCAAACTAACCCCAAACCTAGTATACTATTTTAATGCCAATACTAAATAATATTTGACTCTTACAGGCCTGGGTCTGGATCAGTATCGTCGCTATGATCCCAAGGTAATCAAGTTTCTATTATGTAAATAGATCATATGACCTAAATATTGTTTGATTAACTCTTCTTGCAGTCCGTGGGAGAGCAGTTGAACTTGCAATTGGAAAAGAACAGCATATTCTATAAGCTGGGTTCCTATGGCCTCATCACTTTCTCCGATTACATCTTTCTGCTCACCGTACTCTCCAGTAAGATGACACAACGACGACAATTGTTATATCAAGTTAATGTTTATGTCTCTTGCAGTTTCGCGCCGCCACTTTGAGATCGCATTTCGGATGTTCGATTTGAACGGCGACGGAGATGTGGACTGTGAAGAGTTCGAAATGGTTGCCACGCTCGTGCGACAGCAGACCAGCATGGGCACTCGGCATCGGGATCATGCGAATACTGGAAACACTTTCAAGGTAATTGTGGTTTGAATGAGCTGTGTGTGTGCTCTGTTTCTCTCTCTCTCTCTCTCTCTCTCTCTCTCTCTCTGAAGAGTTTCGTGCAGTGAGCGAGTATTGAGATTGCTGTACTAAAAGATTTTTGTATTGTATATTCTCTGTCTTTTGGCTTTAATCCTTTTGAATGAACGCGTGTCCGTTAAATGCGTGTCTAACTGTGTATATACATACTTCTCCTCCTTTATTTGACTACTAACAGTCCCTGAAGGTACTTTATGTAAAAAGAAAAAACGCTTTTAAGCTTTCTGTTTTGCAACCACATCCCACACCCACACTTAACTCAACTAATTATTGCACCTACTTTTTATAATAATACCTGCACACGCCCACACCTGTTTTCTTGTATATTTGTTGAAACATTTAAAATCGTTTATCGAACTTGAACTAAATGCCTTTTCTGCACTCCTCAGGGTGTTAACTCAGCCTTGATAACGTACTTCTTTGGTCCAAACATGGACCAGAAGCTGACGATTGAAAAGTTCTTGGACTTTCAAGAGCAGTTGCAACGTGAAATTCTCTCGCTCGAATTCGAACGCAAGGAGCCCAATGCGGACGGCAATATAACAGAGGCGGACTTTGCCGAGCTGCTGTTGGCCTATGCGGGCTATCCGCCCAAAAAGAAGCAAAAGAAGCTGAAGCGCGTGAAGCGTCGCTTTCGTGATCATGGCAGGGGCATATCCAAGCAGGATTATCTCGACTTCTTCCACTTCCTGAATAATATTAATGATGTGGATACGGCGCTGACTTTCTACCACATTGCGGGCGCCTCGATCGATCAGCAAACGCTGCAGCATGTGGCCAAGACGGTGGCCATGGTTAACCTGACCGATCACGTCGTGGATGTGGTCTTCACTATATTCGATGAGAATAGTAAGTCGTGGAGCTGTAGTCCCATTTAAAATCTCTTTAATTCTTGATTTTCATATTCCTCCCAGACGATAACCAGCTGAGCAACAAAGAATTTATCTCGGTCATGAAGAACCGCGTACAGCGCGGTCTAGAAAAGCCCAAAGATACGGGATTCCTGAAAATGGTGCGTTCGGTGTTCAAATGTGCCAAGGAAACAAAGCCCGTTCTTTTGGATATCTAATTGTCTTTTGTTGCCTATATGTGGATTCTCGTTTGTTCAGTGCTCAAAAGGCACTTCTTAGTCAATTTACCTACGCTTGCTTCTATTTATTTTTAGTAAACTTTACTTTAAACGCAGCTTTTAACCAATTGTTGAGCTGGTCAATTGTGCATTTTATTCGAGAATTAGATAGTTAATATAGATAATGCACTCGACTCCTATTTTAATGCAATGAAATTTGAGCATTCATAATATAAAACTTTTCATATAATTGACCAAGTTTATTTTCAACTCAACAATTTTCAGTTTAACTGTCGCAAAAGTTGATTTCATAATACATTTTTCTTGTATAATACAAACGCATTTTTACATATGTGCTCTTAAAACGTTTTTAAATATATAATAATATTTATAATATAAAAAATATTTATTTATAATATATATATATATGCTGAGCTTTGTTTTTTGATAAAAATAAATAGTTGATTTATTATTAGAGCTGCAAATTTATGGTTAAACGAATGAATAAATCATTAAATATTGATCCATTGGAATTTGAAATTGTTTACTTTAAGCATAAAGAGAAAATCTTTCAGCATTAAATGATTCCAGAATCTCTTTTGAAATATAAATTACAATTTAATAGTATAATCTTACATCTAATATAACAAATTCGGTAAGTGAATAAATAGTATTACTGAAGGAGTTATTCCAGCAGCTGGTGCCTCGCCTTCTCAGTACAATGTTTGTTGAAATGCAACACGTTTAACAAATGGAATGTGTATATCTGTATATAGATAATTGATTTTTGTTAGGCAACATCGACATCCTGGTCCTCTTCATCCAGATCATCGACACTCAGTCCATACAGCTCCAGGTCGTGTTGCTTCATATGCTCCGTATAGGCATCCAGCTGGGTGAAGCGCAACTGACACTCGCAGCACTCCAGCCAGTCATCCAAAGAGCTATCGCCATCGCCGCTATCCGGGGATATCTGTCTGTTACGGCCACGTGCGCCCGTCTCCGACTGCGCGTCCAGCCCGTGCGTTGCCTTGTGCTCCATGTAGTGCAGATAGTCCTGATACTTGGCGGGACATCGCAGGCATTTGTACCAGCGATCGCGCATATGGGTCACCATATGCTTCTTGAGAGTGGAGCACTCGCGGAAGGGCTTGCGGCACTTGCTGCAGCTGAACGGCTTCTCGCCGGTGTGGATCATGTAATGGCGCTTCAGGTTGTGGCGTGTGCCAAAGGGACGCTGGCAGAGCGGGCAGGGGTAAGTGCGTCGATTGCGCGTTACTCTGGCCGGACGCTTTGGTGCCACATCGTTGCTCAGCGAGGATGAGGAGTTGGCGCTGCTGCAGCTGCGTGGCAGGGGCGGACGCGTTAGGGCAGTGAGAGTGATTGCGGGCGGGGCAGGTGGGGCTGGCGTGAGTGGGGGTGGTGCGGGAACTAGTGTGACGAGCAATGTCGGAGGCAGAGTTGGCATTGGCAACGACACAACTTCGTTTTCGACTTGATTGTCCTCCGGCAGGAACTCCTGATCCGTGTCCTGCTCCTCCTCTTGCTCCTCCTGTTCGTCTTGCTCGTCCAACGCTGGCTCAGTCTCATCAATTGGCTCCTTATCAGCATCCAGAGCATCACAGTCCTGCGGAGCTAACAACAGATTCTTGCCCTCGCACTCCACACAGCGTGTCGAGTCCTGCTCCATGGGCGTATGAATGCGGCAGATCATGCATATATAGCGCGGATCATTTATATGTCGTCTGCGATGCTTCTTCAAATCGCTAAACTCCCGAAAGCGACGTTCGCACAAATCACAAGGAAAGGGTCGCTCACCTGATTGATGGAAATGCACATAGAAAATTTATTTTATTAAGATTCATTTAGTTTTATGATATATACCTGAAGAATTGTGTAATATGTACAATAATAAATTATTTTGATTTTACGATGTATCCATAATACTAAATCTTAAAACCAGAAGAGATTGATTGAGAGTGAATAAATGTGTTCTTAAGGACTATTGACTATTGACTAATAACCTCATAAAAATTAATAGAGAAAAAATTTAAATACATATGTATATACCTAAAAATTTTAAAATATGTATTTCTATATATGATTTGAAATAATCATTAAATAATAATTAATCATTTTATATATTAATCAAACAATGAATATTTCACTTTATAACAAGGAAATATTTTTAAATATTTGTATATCAAGGACAGAAATAGAAGAATATGGAAAAACGCTCAAATTTGTATTCAATCAAGTTTCAATGAAATCAAACATTTAATATAAATTCCTTGCAAAAACTCGAATCAGATCTGAGATTCAATACATTTCTTTAAGAGATTAAATCACATTCTATATTACCAACATTATATATTAGATCTCAGTTTTGCTAGATTTTCTCGTTTCAGGCCACGCCTGTTGCACAATCGCTGCTCTCACCTGTGTGTATCATCATGTGACGGCGCAGATTATAATTGGACTGCACCTTCTTGCCGCACGCCTGGCACTGGTAAAAGTGTCGACCGCGTCGCTTTATGTATGGTCTCGGGGAGCGCTTGCGGGTAGCTGATTTCATGGGTTGTTTCTCTTCGTCATCCGATGGCAGTTCAATGACCTGGTCTGTTGGCTCCTCCAGCTCACAGCTGACATTCGCGGCAGGCAAATCTTCAGAATTTTTCTCCTTAGCCGTCTGCTCCGCATCTCCATTTTCGCTTTCGCTGTCGCTAAGCTCAATCCTGGCCACGATGCGATGATGCCGTTGCTTCAGTTTCTTTGCCAGCCGTTGCTTATCCGTCATCGGGCGTTTTTCAGATTTTAAGCTACGGGCTGTGCTAATCAACATCAGCGGCGGCGGCCCTACGCTCCCCTCATCATCGTCTAGCAGCTCGATAATTTGTTGCTGCGGCTGTGGCTGCGGCTGTGGCTGCGGCTGCTGCTCCGTCTGCTGCTTTTGCTCTTGCTGTTGGCGTCGCAGCTCTTGTTGTTGCTGGCCGATTTCAAAGAGCAGACTCTTAATCTTGGCATCGTCGATGGACACAAAGTTCTCCTCCGGTTCGTGGTATTCGTAGTTCACAGGATCTGGTGGCAGCTGGCAGTCGGTGTCGCAGCAAGCAGCATCGCAACAGCCGGTAGCTGCGCAGCAAGTGGGCGCTGCGCTGGCGCAGTCGCTGCAGCAGTCAGCGCAGCCAGCCGAGGCAAGCTCCATGCCCTGAAATGGCCAAACAAAGGAAATTAAAATACACAGCATACAAAATACATATGCGCATAGTTAGTTTAACAAAATAAGAGAGAACGAGAGGAAGACAGAGGGAGAGTGAGGGAGAGAGAGAGAGATAGAGAGCTTTTGCGCCTATGCATATGCTATGCTTATTACGCTAATTGCCATTCACATCCTTGCGCGAACGTCTATAACAATAACATACCTTGCCGCAATACATTAAAAATCCGTAAACAAATTGCGTAAAAAAGACGAACCAAACAAAAAATTCAAAAGGGGGAAAAGTAATTTGTGACTGGCGCTGTTTTTTTTTTGCCGTGGCTGTTTCGCGTTGTTAGCCGAGGCCGAGTGAAGAAGAAACTGGATTCGCAGTTCGCTCGCCCGGGCTCAGCAACCTCGACAAACGCCAAAAGTCGAGTTTCAGTCGGCCCGCTGCCTCGCCTCTGCCTCGCTCGCTGCTCACTGTGAATCAGCGAAGCGAAGCAACAACAACAAGCAAAAGCAGCGCCAGCAACAAAACAACGAGCGCAACAGGCAAGACGACATCGACGTCGGCGTCGACGCGCGCTGCAGGCTTTTTATTTTTAATGCACGCGCATATTGAAAACAACAACAACAACAATAAATACCAAATAGCTTTTTTCGACCCGGCAAGCTGCTCCTCTTTGGCTTTTCCCCTGTCCCCACCCACACGCGGTGCCGTTGCGTGCGTTGGCTGTTAACTTGATTTTTCTTCAGGCGCGCACAGCTCCAAAACCAAAACCAAAACCAAAACGAATACGAAAAACAAAGAAAATGCGCAGGGCGAACCAAAAGCAAGGCCCCATAGAAACGCAACAATAATGACAACAACAACAACAACAAAAACACCAACAAAACCAACGATCGCGTACAGTGAGAGCAAAAAGAAACCAACGAGCGTCGCGCGAAACTCAACTCACGATTTTCAAGATTACTTCGAGCAGCAAACGGCGAGCAGTCTAGCAGACGGCGACAATGTTGGGGAGAGAGAAGGAGGCGAGCTCCATTAAAGCACGACCGAAGCGAAGCGAATCGTGGCAACAACAATAAAAGCATCTCAACGACGAAGACAACAACAAGAACAGCTGCAGCCACCACAGCAGAAGTGGCTGCCGAGCAGCGCGAGCTCCGTGCGCAGCCATTTCTTGCTGCTCTTTTTCCTTTTTGGAGCAACAACAAAAACCACAGAGTTTAATTATTTGCGATGTCTTGCTTTTGTTTTTTATTGTTGTATGTTCATTTTATTGTTAGGTTGCTGGCGTCAGCGTTGACGTCGGCATCGCTGTCGACGTTGTCAGAAACCTACGCATACACGTATATACATACATACATATGTATGTATGAATGTTTCTTGTTGCTGTGTCAGCCTTCGGGCAGTGTTGTGCAACGTCACGAAGGAGATGCCCTTTTAAACATACACGAACCTATGCAAAGGAATGTCTGTATGTATGTACGTATGAATGTAGCTTGCCTATCGGTCTCATTTGTATGTATTTAGCGTGGGTGGTTGGTTCTGCTAACCCGATCGCACGTCACACCAACGTCTACTGCCATTCTTTCGCTTCCACCTCCTCTTGCATGACTGCCTGGCTGCCTGACTGCCGAGCGCGATCGGATCGTGACTGAAAGTACAAATCGAGTGTGAAACTTGTTTTTTAATCAGCGTACGCCCATTCGCCCCCAGCCTGGGCAGTTCGCAAATAGTAGACTCGTTCAGTGCCTGCCAGAGTTGCTGAGTGCAGAGCGATGCTCGGCCAGTTTGTTCGAACTTTTACTGAGCCAGACGGACGCACACATACCTACATACATACGTTTGCATGGGCAAAAGTGAACGCACACATACGCACATACCCACACACCGCAATAATTATATCTGAGAATCAGTATACTAAAAATAAATATTATCCCATAATGGCTTGGGTTATTAAAAATAAATACACATACAACTAAAATTATATAGTTGATAGAGCAATTAAAAAAAAAATATAAACCCAAGATAATCAGATTGGTTGAGTTATTTATACTTTTTTTTTTTTAATTATTCAGGGCTATGAAGGCTATGGAATATATCTATTAAATCTGATCGGAATAAAATTAAAGTTAGCTATAACAAATATGTGGTTAAGAGCTGATGGCTGCTATCTGTCTAAAAATCTGTTTAAAATCTTATTTTTTAGATTAAATTATACTGAAATTCTCAAATTGGATTATCCCATACTCCTCCTCTCATTTCGTGTCCTCACAAGCAGATAAAACAGTTTTGTTTTCGTTCTATTGAAAAAAATATTGTTTATTGTTTTTGTTTTCATTTAAAATAACATTTTGAAATTATAAATTATACTGAAATTCTCAAATTGGATTATCCCATACTCCTCCTCTCATTTTGTGTCCTCACAAGCAGATAAAACAGTTTTGTTTTCGTTCTATTGAAAAAAATATTGTTTATTGTTTTTGTTTTCATTTAAAATAACATTTTGAAGCTAAATATTTAAAAATTCGCATACGAAGATCGGCTAAGTCGTAATACAAATTTGTATATAATTTCGGATATAATCGTTTATCCGCTATAAATCGATCGAATTTGAAACGCAGCATATACATACGCACATTTACATATATAAGAAACATATTTGGCAAAATTGGATTGGTACTACCATCTAAGCGGGCTAATAACTAAGTGTACCGTAAATAGGGCTAAATATAACTAGGTGTGTCTATATATGTATGTATATATATTTTTAAAAAATTGTGTCATAAGTATATTAGTATCATGTATCGAAACGGCATTGGAAATGAATGCGACACATGGGATGGCGCTGGGGGGATAGGGATCAGGTGAATCGGAGTGCGCCATAAACATATTAAAAACAAAAATGTTGCTAACAGTATATGGAGATATAGAGGATATAGGCGATGATTTGATATGCAAATATTTACGAAGGATCTGGCATTAAACAACTTAATTATGTACATTACTTAAGGCTAAGACGCGAACTGAGAAAAGCTCGGGACATTGGGTGGGTGCTGGGTTAAAATAACGCTCGATTGGTGCCATCATAAGAACTACGTCTATAACTAGGTGCTGGCAGCGGCATATACAAATTAGACAGGGTATAAACGGCTGCAGGTTATCTATGGTACAGTGCGATGTGATTGGATCGCTTAAAGCTTTTGCTGTACATCCATTTTGGTGGCCTTGTTGCTGTCCAATGACAGAGACGTGCCCAGCTTCTCGTGGTTAACTATGAACTTCTTGGCCCCTGAGAAGCCCTGCTTGTTGATGTAGAAACTCTTCTGGGCAACCGGCGAGCAGCCATCGTCGACAACGAGGCGATTCAGAAAGGTAGCCCCCGTTTTGGCTCCACTGTCGCACGAGGATGATTCAATGCTGATGGTCGAGCAGCCACCAATCGATGACGTCTCGCTCTTGGCATCATCCATGAGCGTGGCATCGTCCACCATGTCGTTGACCAGCAGCTGGGGACCGCCTAGCGCACTGCTCGACGAGGCCGTCGACAAGATGGACGAGGTGCGACTGCGGCAGGTGTTCGTCTCACTTTCCGGTATGGAAATGCCCTCGTCGATGCTCTGGCTCTGACTGCCGCCCGCCAGGCAGATGCCATCCAGTCCATTCACAGGCAGAACGTTGCTGGGCGAGGCGGACACGGGAGAAGGGCAGCCGCTGCTGCTGCTGTTGTTGTTGTTGCCGGCGGCATTGTTGTTTGTGCACAGCTTCGATATGAACAGCTTGGGAGTAATGCGTCCGTCATAGGTGCCCGAGTCGGGACTGGGGCACACAGACGAGGGCGATTGGCACACAGGTGATGAGCCGCGGCTGCAATTGGAGATGAGTTTCATAACTATATCAAAAGTCAAATCTGATCTTAACTTACCTATCGGTGAAGATTTTCTTTGGCGGCGGCGGGGAGTAGACGCTCCAGTTGCTGACGCTGGGATTGTTGTCGTCCAGCTCGAATTTACGTTTGACGGGCGCCAGAGACGATGGTCGCATCGGAATGGGCGACATGGAACGCCGCGTGGCGAAGGTGCGACGTGTCGGCGAAGGCGAGTAGGGCAAACGCATGCCGGCCCGATTGCTGGTGGGACTGGGACTGGAGCAGCTGGTGCTATTGCTGCTGCCGGTTGGCAGCGTCTGCAGCGGATTCGAGAGTTCATCCGATTTGCAGGACCAGTTCTCAGTCACCAGGGTGAGATCCTCCCAGCTCTGTGAGATTTGAATTTCGCGATGCACCTCCCGCTCATGGTTTACCTCGCGGCTATTCAGATCGGCGCATTCCTCCTGTCGCAGCTGCGAGACGCGAGGCGTCAGACAAAGCGCTGTGCCCAAGCTCCCCCCGGCGCCGTTAAGCGCTGGACTGTAGCTGGCCGAGTAGCGACGTGCACGTGGTGTGAATGGATTGAACACCGGCGCCGGCGACACTTCCCGGGAGTTAGGCTGTGAGCGTATGTGTATGCTCTTGCCAAAGCAATCGATGCCTGCGCCGGTGCTCAGGCTGAAAGTGGAGCAAATGTTGCTGTCGGAGCGCTGCTGTGGCTGCGACTGTGACTGCTGATCCCTCTTCTTTGGTGTCTGTTCCTTGGCAGCCGCGGCAGCTGCTGCGGCGGCGCGTGTCGTCATGGGCGTCGGCTTGCCCGGCAATGTGCGTATGATGGGCACGCTGACGCAGCGCTTTAAAGTCTTGGAGCTGCAGCTGATCGTGGCGCTGGCCGGGGCCTCGAGGGTATCCATGGGGACAGAACCTGCATTTGCATTTGCTTCTGTCTCGGCTGGCGTCTTGCTGGGCTGCTCATCGTTGCTGTTGCTGCTGCTGCTATTGCTGCTAGCGTTCGTATCCATTGAAACGAGTCTATAAATAACAAACAAAAACTATGTATTTACTATTTTTTGCTATGTGCTGCGGGCTGCTGACGCTTAGGCTGTGGGTATTTTTATGTTTCGTGGGTTTCGGTTGCTACAAAATTGCTTGTCAACACACATACAGACACACACACACATTCACCTATTTAGTTACTATACAACACACAGAAAATAACAACAAAAACAACTACACACATATTTTGTTCTTGCTCGCTCACTCGCACTCAGCTGGTGCTGGTTCAGTTTTGGGTCGTTCGGTTCACTTGGGCAGCTCATGTGGTGCATGTGGCGCAGTTTGCTAGCATATCTAAGTTAGGATTTGCCTAAAATTCTTATACGGACGCCAGTGCAGCTCGACAATGCTGTCGATGTCGATGTCGACGTCGGCGCCGTCGTCGTCGTCGTCGTCAGCGTCACCGTCGCGCAGCTTGACAATCTTTTTTTACAGCAACTGCGTGCGTTGCGAGTGGCGAGGTTTTTGCTGGCTTTTTACACCAATTATTTAGACTCAACGCATGCAAATGTTGGACAAATTAGATAGGCAACAGTTTGCGGCATCTTTTGTTCTGCATTTGGTTGCTTAATAAGTTATCTAAATGCTCTAATTTACTTACAAAGTTATGTCCTGTGATTACAATTTTCTGCAGCCAGTTTTAGTTTTTTCTCAGTGTTGAATAACGATATAAGTGCGGTAACCAGGCACGTTCAGACATTCGAGTAAAATCAACGATAGCATTGAGAAAAATAATGCTTCCTGGGCTAACTTGTCAATAATTTAATTCAATCAACCTACAAATATATTTAAAAATATACTCTTTTAAGTGACGAGTCATCAATTTAGCTGACAAACGATTGAGAGTAAAATGCGTAGCGTCATTGTGATCGAATCTGACTGACGAGTCGCATGCCTATGCTTGACCAGCAGCGCGGTGTATGATAACGTTGTGCAACACTGAGCGAGCGCGTATTTTTAAAATACGCTACAGCGCAACGAAATGTGTATTTAATGATTATACGCATATAATTGAAAACGCAATTAAGAAAACCGATAGACATGTAATATATATTTATTTTTACTATATGCAAAACTTAAGAAAATGGTCGCGCTTATATGTGTATATAAGCTAGATCAGTAATTTGGTTTTAAACTTAAAAATCACAACTAATTGTAATAACACATTCAGAGATGCTTCATAAAGTTTGCATAAACTAGTATATGCTTTAAATAATATTTATATATAGTATGTGTTAGTAATGCGGAACTTATATAGTTTCTTCCAACTTAATGAATTTATAATACTTTTCTTTCTTTCATCATTTTTGTCGTAGTTTTTTTTTTTTTTTTTAATTTTTGTTTTTCTTTTTTGTGTTTGCTTTGCGCAATTTCCATGGGTGTTCTACATCTAAATTACATTTTAAGTTAATTTCTTTGTTAGTTGACGCCTGTTACTTTTGTGGATTCATCTCTTGTCTCCATGGATGGTATTCATTTGCAACAATTGAAATCGCTTACATCTTACTTGTCGAAATCAAATTAGAGTTCAAATCAATATTCATATATAAGCATCCTACAACTAGCTTGCAATATCATAATGAGCGGTGTATATGTAAATGGAAATCGATTTGCATTCTTTTAGTTGACTAAGTTGGCAAACGCATGAGCTGCTGTCGCGAGCGGCGGGGTTCTTTAGTTGAGACTGTCTCTTTAGCCATCGGCCAGAGCGGGCGTTACCCAGCCATACTTCTCGTGTGTTTTGACCAGTGAGCGAAATGACTCCTCTGCCTGCCGACTGCCAAAGTTCAAAATACAGAAAAGAAAAAAAAATATATAAATAATAATATGAAACAAATTGAATCACATTATTAAATGGCACAACTCAATTGTGCGCATCAAGGACAACGCACCGACTGAACTCCTTTGTACTTTTCGGTTTGCGCGCAATGCGACCCTGACCCTTGACCACGCTGGCTGCAAACTGCATGATGACCGCCTCCACGGTGTATGCGCTGGCCCAGCCCCTCGGCGTGAGCAGCTCCATGCAAATGGCGCCACCCTCCATCACGTAACCCTTCTCGATGCGCGGCTCCACGACGCGCATGAAGGGCGGCGCAAATGGAAAATTGTCGGGAAAGCTCAAATGCAACAGAATCGCCGGCACATTCATCTCAACCATGTCGCTGGCCAACGGCGAATCCGGATCGATGACATGCAGTCGCACGTGCCACTCAAATAGGCTGTCATTGACTAGTTCCACCTGAAAGAGTTGATAAATGGACATCAGAATTGTGCTTTAGTGGAGTACATTTATTTTGTATACCGTGAGATCCCATTGAAAAAGGAAAATCAGGGTATAAACATTTTGGTAGAATGAATGTAACTGGCAGATATCAATATTATAATATATGAATAATTATTGACTTGCTTGAATTTGAATTTTAAGTAATAAAATTATAAGTCTCTTTAGCACTTTTTTGGCCATTACCGTAAAGACTGCATCCTTTTTGATCTGCAGGCGTTCCATTTCGCGATACTCCTTCATCAGGCGACGCGAGCGTATGGAGGCATCTGGCGGCATCAAGACCGAGCGTCCTGCCGTGGGAGCCACTCTGTAAAAGGTGCAGAGTTTCAAATACATATATTTACATGCACATATATTAACTTATATAGCTAATGCCATCAATTACTTGTGATCCTGGCGACGACGCTTGCCCGGCGATTCGCACACAGCCTGTTCGGCGGCAACGCGCACGATGGCATTCTTGGGACTCAGCTGAGCAGCTGCGCCGGCTCCTGATGCAGCCTCGCTAGATGCTCCAGCTGCAGCGCCACCGTTGGCTGCGGTGGTGACATCAATGTTGTTATTATTGTTGTTGTTGTTATTGACGTTCTTGCTACTGTTGCTGTGCTCGGGTCCATCGGTTTTATCGCAGCTCTTGTCGTTGCTGTTGTTGTTATGGTTGTTATTATTATTATTGTTATTGTTGTTGTTGTTATTATTATTATTATTATTATTGTTGTTGTTGCTGGACTTGTGGAAGATCTTACGAATTGCCGTAACAACTCTCTCTTTGGAACGGGATGACATCTTTGCGGTGTTCTTTGTTTGTTGTTGCTTTCACTCTAGCGGTGGAATTTATTTCTAATTACAAGCTAAGTGTTTGCAGTGTGGGTGTATGTGTGTGTTTATGTGTATATATTTGTCTGTGGTATGAGTGTAGTATTTGTTCAGTCTTTTTCATATAAACGTTGGTTGTGCAAAGACAATTGTGCTGCAATTAGAACAGAGAAAACAAAAATTAATTTCAGTGCTGGAAAAGTTTCTGTAAAATTTTAAAATCCGCCCATGTTTGTAAGTGGAAAACTTTTACTCAAAGTTTCAAATGCTAGCAGTCAAATTAAACTATATTAAAACATTAGAGCATATTGAAAATAAAAACGTCCCTGACCTACGCCCATTTTTTGTGACCTTGGAAGATATAATAATACAAAATATATACATATTTACATATATTGGCCTGGCTGACTGCGCGAATACTCTGTAATCGTTGTGGGAGGCTCAGCACTTGAATCTATTTTGTTGTAGTTGGGGTTTGTTTTATTTACGGACCTCTGAAGATTATCTCGTTGCTCCAGCTCTCTGGCATCGGGTAACAAAGAGACACTTCACACTGCCTGCTCCACACATACAAAGCCCAACGCCAGCAACATCCTTGACAACATTTGCCACGCTTATAAAAACAACAGCAATAAAAAAAGCAAAATATATACATACATATATTCATATAAGTATATATGCAATGCTCGCAGCCAACTAAGAACGAAGCAAGAGCAACAGCAGCACAACAATAATAAAAGCTCATAAAAAAACAAAGGAATATGGAATAAGTAAAAGTAACGACTAGAGTATACCCAAGAAATTTATTTTCCTTTTTATAATATTTTAATATTATATGAGGAATATACCCTCTAGGTGTACAGCTGCAGAAACATTTCAATATTATTTTTAAAGTTGATGTGAGACGAATCATATATGAGTATGAAGTATACTCTATAAGTCAAAAGTTGATCTTCATTTATACATACTTCCTTTGGTAATATATGAGGAGTATATTTAATAGATCTTGCAAACACTTAAAAAATTTGTATATCTTTTCTTATTTTAATTTGTAAGTTAACTTGAGAAATTTAAATATTTTTACAATTCCTGTTTACTGCATTTATTGGAAAATTTTAATGACTCGATTTTAGATTTTTGCGCGCTGCTTTAATTATATATATTAAATGTATTAATTAAAATTATTAAGGAAATAAATGACAAATTAGCATTTCAGGTAAAACCGGATTTTTTATTTATGGTAAATTGAACCTTAAGGTATCAATTACAAGCAGTTAAAATAGTTCAAGGCTTGAAGCTTGATGTCAGAGTCTCATATTTACTAAACTTTCTTTGCCTTACGAGGTATTTTCTGACATGTGATGGAAACATTAAAAAGAACATCATAACCATATACATATATTTTTTACAAAACACATAAATCTTATATTACATTTCTTTGTTTTCCAACAAACACGCATTCACACTTGATTAGATCAACCCAACTCATGGACCTTCTCAAGCATATCTATAGATTATTCCTTTGGAGGAAAATTCTTTTGCGTATGCCCAAAGCATCAAACTCTATTTTTTCGCTCACCATTTCAATGGATATTAGAAACTTATTGCGACGCAGCCAACAGCTAACAGCTACCAGGCAGTCGGGTGCTTGTGGGCCACGTTGTAGGACCTCGGGGGATGGGGGCTTTTAACTTTTATGGCTGAAACTTTTTGGGGCCACGCGCATGGCAAAGTGGATGCTGTGTGGGTGAGGGGGCGAAAGCTGTGCTTGGATTTGCAGTAGATGTTTGCCAGCTAAGGTGTTGACCATGAGCCTAAATTGTTCCACTTGCGCATAATTAGCCGTTGCTAAGGAAACGAGCAGCAGGTGGAAACTTGGGCTCAGATTGCAGCGACCAAGCCAAGCCAAGGCAGAGCCAAGAGCCAGCGCCAAATGGCCAAGGGCGGTGTTTGGCATGATGTGTATTTATGATTATTATTGCTATTATAAAAGGGACAACCATGAGGTTAACTAAGAGAGTGAATCACCCAGGGAGAGCAAACTCACAATTTACCATAATTAAAGTAAAGAGAGGTATGAGGAAATTAAGAAGGATAGTTAAATATATTGCGAAAATGGATTTCAAATTGTATTCGATATCTGTTAGAAGGCACGAATAATACATGGAATTTCTTAGACAAAGTTAGAACTCATCTTCTAATTCCTTGGAATTGCCAACAAGTTGTAGCTAATTGAATCAGTAGCTGTCTGTAAAACAAATTATGAGTGATTGATGCATCGCTGGACAGGGCAAAGCTCTCGCTATGGTCAACAGATGCCCTTAGCAAGACGACGGACACGTGTAAGCTGAAAGTCGATTATTAATAGCACACAAAACTCATTAAGAGCGCCAATGGGCGAGAGAGAGAGAGAGAGGAGTTCAGTTAAGGTCTATATCGATTCACTGCTGATTGAAAATTTCCCGTTCTGCAACTATTTATAGACTGTTGCAAGTTTTACACTTTTGCTTTCGACTGGTCGGCAAAGGAGAAAACTGCTAAAAGGCATCGAGGCGCCAGGCCAAGACCAGACTAGGCGACAAGGAAACAAGTTCGCCACAAGCATGAAAGCGGATGGGGGCTATGGGGAATGGAGAACTGCTGACTAAGGCTGGCCAGACATTTTGGTATTGTCTCCAGGCATCCAGCTGCGAGGGCAACGGCGCGCGACATGCCATTGGATACAAATTAAATAAACAATTCTGTTAAGTAAATGGAAATTGAACTATATCGATGCTATTTGACAGCTCTGAAATAATGTGCGACAAATTGACTCGCCGATTCGAAATTTGAGCTAGGCGCGTATCTAATCTAATCTGTCTGGGCGAAAATCGATAGGGCCTCCCTGCTCTACACGCACTGACCTATCCCTAAAAGAGAGGCATACAGACATACATATATAACTAATAATACCCTTGTCATATTCATGATAATTTTAGATTAAATCCATACAGAGCTGAGGGTGGGCAAATGGCCCTCATAAAATCTATTCCAGGCTAATAACAAAATGACGGCGCTAAAAGCAATGCTGTAGTTAAATTGGCTTTTAATTTTACTGCTCAATTGGCAACGGCATTGAGCTCGCATACAGGGTGTTCCGAGCAATGGTGATAGTTTTATTGCTTTTACATTGACTGTGAAAAAGGGTAATTAAAAAAACAATTTTTTTGTCTTTAGCCTCATTTACAATACGTCTCAAGTCGTCTTATGCATTAATTGTGCATCATTAAGCGATAGTAATCGATTATAAAATATATCGGTTCGTCAAATATTTAAAAAAAAGCCCTGTAGATCAAATTGTTCCGTCTACCAACACTATTAAATTGGCTATTGCTTGCCTGAAGCGTGGGAAAACGATCAAATGAACAAAAACAATTTACTTTTATTTTCTCTTTTAAATACGGTGTGTTTGTGCATGCACCTTTTGGCTGGTATAAACAACTTGCCTGGCAGCGTTCATTGTTGTTGCACAGACATGCAAATGCGTTGCTGTTGTTGTTCTTATTGTTGTCGCATGCAAATCAGAAGCGCAAGCACACGAAACAACGTCATAATGAAAGCTGCTGGCGAGCGAAACACGAAATGAAAAACACAACAGAAAAAAAAAATACGTTAACCCATAAACCAAATATCTGCTGTAACTTCCTTATGCATTCGCAAGTATTTTGCATAATATTGATTTTTAACTGCAGTTTATGGCGACTTTTAATTGCAATTTAAGTGATATGCAAATCAATCGTATACGCACTATTTATCAGCTCTGGTGCCCGCCAGCCTGCTCTACCAATACTGAAGCACCGTTATTAAAAGCGCAACGGAGTAGAATTGCAAGAGACCGAGACAATGCGAGTGAGAGTAAGAGTGAGCACGAGCTAGGCATTTGTTTGCTTGCTCAACAGTTTCTTTGTTTGGCTTTGACAGTGAAATTTTTTTTTTCTGCATTTTTTTTTCTTTTTGCGTTGCACTTTGCGCCTGTCATGGCAATCAGTTCTGCTGCTGCCACGAGCCGTTGTGCTGTCTCTCTCTAACCCCCTCTTACACATTGAGCACGCCTGCACTTGCTGTGTCTCTGTGTGTGTGTGTGTGTGTGCGAGTGTGCTTTTGCCATTGTTCTACTTGCCCATTGGCAGCCCATTCCCGTTCGGCCTGCGGCTGCTGTATGCCTTTATTTATAAATTCTGGCTCGGTTAATGCAAGCTAATTGAATTAAGCACGGTTTAAAATGTGCAAAACGCACTCACATTAATCAAAGCACTTGCGCTTCCTGGTTAGCGTTTGGTGAAGAGCTGACTGCTCCCCA